ATCCAAGGAGAAATACGCCAAGACACATATTAATCAAACTGTCAAAAATTAAATACAAAGAAAGCATATTAAAAGCAGCAAGGGAAAAACAACAAATAACACACAAGGGAACCCCGTAAGGTTAACAAATAACACACAAGGGAACCCCGTAAGGTTAACCCCGTAAGGTTAACAGCTGATCTTTCAGCAGAAACTCTGCAAGCCAGAAGGGACTGGCAGGACATATTGAAAGTGTTGAAGGAGAAAAACCTGCAACCAAGATTACTCTACCCAGCAAGGATCTCATTCAGATTTGATGGCGAAATTAAAACCTTTACAGACAAGCAAAAGCTGAGAGAGTTCAGCACCACCAAACCAGCTCTACAACAACTGCTAAAGGAACTTCTCTAGGCAAGAAACACAAAAGAAGGAAAAGACCTACAATAACGAACCCAAAACAATTTAGAAAATGGGAATGGGAACATACATATCGATAATTACCTTAAATGTAAATGGACTAAATGCTCCCACCAAAAGACGCAGATTGGCTGAATGGATACAAAAACAAGACCCTTATATATGCTGTCTACAAGAGACCCACTTCAGACCTAGAGACACATACAGACTGAAAGTAAGGGGATGGAAAAAGGTATTTCATGCAAATGGAAACCAAAAGAAATCTGGAGTAGCAATTCTCATATCAGACAAAATAGACTTTAAAATAAAGACTATTAGAAGAGACAAAGAAGGACACTACATAATGATCAAGGGAGCGATCCAAGAAGAAGATATAACAATTGTAAATATTTATGCACCCAACACAGGAGAACCTCAATACCTAAGGCAAATACTAACAGCCATAAAAGGGGAAATCGACAGTAACACATTCATAGTAGGGGACTTTAACACCCCACTTTCACCAATGGACAGATCATCCAAAATGAAAATAAATAAGGAAACACAAGCTTTAAATGATACATTAAACAAGATGGACTTAATTGATATTTATAGGACATTCCATCCAAAAACAACAGAATACACATTTTTCTCAGGTGCTCGTGGAACATTCTCCAGGATAGATCATATCTTGGGTCACAAATCAAGCCTTGGTAAATTTAAGAAAACTGAAATTGTATCAAGTATCTTTTCTGACCACAACGCTATGAGACTAGATATCAATTACAGGAAAAGATCTGTAAAAAGTACAAACACATGGAGGCTAAACAATACACTACTTAATAACGAAGTGATCACTGAAGAAATCAAAGAGGAAATCAAAAAATGCCTAGAAACAAATGACAATGGAGACACGACGACTCAAAATCTATGGGATGCAGCAAAAGCAGTTCTAAGAGGGAAGTTTATAGCAATACAATCCTACCTTAAGAAACAGGAAACATCTCAAATAAACAACCTAACCTTGCACCTAAAGCAATTAGAGAAAGAAGAACAAAAAAACCCCAAAGTTAGCAGAAGGAAAGAAATCATAAAAATCAGATCAGAAATAAATGAAAAAGAAATGAAGGAAACGATAGCGAAGATCAATAAAACTAAAAGCTAGTTCTTTGAGAGGATAAACAAAATTGATAAACCATTAGCCAGACTCATCAAGAAAAAAAGGGAGAAGACTCAAATCAATAGAATTAGAAATGAAAAAGGAGAGGTAACAACTGACACTGCAGAAATATAAAAGATCATGAGAGATTACTACAAGCAACTCTATGCCAATAAAATGGACAACCTGGAAGAAATGGACAAATTCTTAGAAAGGCACAACCTGCCAAGACTGAATCAGGAAGAAATAGAAAATATGAACAGACCAATCACAAGCACTGAAATTGAAACTGTGATTAAAAATCTTCCAACAAGCAAAAGCCCAGGACCAGATGGCTTCACAGGCGAATTCTATCAAACATTTAGAGAAGAGTTATCACCTATCCTTCTCAAACTCTTCCAAAATATAGCAGAGGGAGGAACACTCCCCAACTCATTGTACGAGGCCGCCATCACCTTGATACCAAAACCAGACAAGGATGTCACAAAGAAAGAAAACTATAGGCCAATATCACTGATGAATATAGATGCAAAAATCCTCAACAAAATACTAGCAAACAGGGCTTCCCTGGTGGTGCAGTGGTTGAGAGTCTGCCTGCTGATGCAGGAGACATGGGTTTGTGCCCCGGTCTGGGAGGATCCCACATGCCACGGAGTGGCTGGGCCCATGTGCCATGGCCACTGAGCCTGCGCATCCGGAGCCTGTGCTCCGCAACGAGAGAGGCCACAACAGTGAAAGGCCCGTGTACTGCCAAAAAAAAAAAAAAGAGCTCTCAAAATACTAGCAAACAGAATCCAACAGCACATAAACGGATCATACACCATGATCAAGTGGGGCTTATTCCAGGAATGCAAGGATTCTTCAGTATACACAAATCAATCAACGTGATACACCATATTAACAAATTGAAGGAGAAAAACCATATGATCATCTCAGATGCAGAGAAAGCTTTTGATAAAATTCAACACCCATTTATGGTAAAAAACCCTGCAGAAAGTAGGCACAGAGGGAACTTTCCTCAACATAATAAAGGCCATATATGACAAACCCACAGCCAACATCATCCTCAATGATGAAAAACTGAAAGCATTTCCACTAAGATCAGGAACAAGACAAGGTTGCCCACTCTCACCACTTTTATTCAACATAGTTTTGGAAGTTTTAGCCCCAGCAATCAGAAAAGAAAAGGAAATAAAAGGAATCCAAATCAGAAAAGAAGAAGTAAAGCTGTCACTGTTTGCAGATGACATGATACTATACATAGAGAATCCTACAGATGCTACCAAAAAACTACTAGAGCTAATCAATGAATTTGGTAAAGTAGCAGGATACAAAATTAATGCACAGAAATCTCTGGCATTCCTATACACTAAGGATGAAAAATCTGAAAGTGAAATCAAGAAAACACTCCCATTTACCATTGCAACAAAAAGAATAAAATATCTAGGAATAAACCTACCTAAGGAGACAAAAGACCTGTATGCAGAAAATTATTAAGACACTGATGAAAGAAATTAAAGATGATACAAATAGATGGAGAGATATACCATGTTCTTGGATTGGAAGAATCAACATTGTGAAAATGACTCTACTACCCAAAGCAATCTACAGATTCAATGCCATCCCTATCAAACTACCACTGGCATTTTTCACAGAACTAGAACAAAAAATTTCACTATTTGTATGGAAACACAAAAGACCCCGAATAGCCAAAGCAAACTTGAGAACGAAAAATGGAGCTGGAGGAATCAGGGTTCCTGTTTTCAGACTATACCACAAAGCTACAGTAATCAAGACAGTATGGTACTGGCACAAAAACAGAAAGATAGATCAATGGAACAGGATAGAAAGCCCAGAGATAAACCCACGCACCTATGGTCACCTTATCTTTGATAAAGGAGGCAGGAATGTACAGAGGAGAAAGGACAGCCTCTTCAATAAGTGATGCTGGGAAAACTGGACAGTTACATGTAAAAGTATGAGATTAGATCACTCCCTAACACCATACACAAAAATAAGCTCAAAATGGATTAAAGACCTAAATGTAAGGCCAGAAACTATCAAACTCTTAGAGGAAAACATAGGCAGGACACTCTATGACATAAATCACAGCAAGGTCCTTTTTGACCCACCTCCCAGAGAAATGGAAATAAAAACAAAAATAAACAAATAAGACCTAATGAAACTTCAAAGCTTTTGCGCAGCAAAGGAAACCATAAACAAGACCAAAAGACAACCCTCAGAATGGGAGAAAATATTTGCAAATGAAGCAACTGACAAAGGATTAATCTCCAAAATTTATAAGCAGCTCATGCAGCTTAATAACAAAAAAACAAACAACCCAATCCAAAAATGGGCAGAAGACCTAAATAGACATTTCTGCAAAGAAGATATACAGACTGCCAACAAACACATGAAAGAATGCTCAACATCACTAATCATTAGAGAAATGCAAATCAAAACTACAATGAGATATCATCTCACAGAATGGCCATCATCAAAAAATCTAGAAACAATAAATGCTGGAGAGGGTGTGGAGAAAAGGGAACCCTCTTACACTGTTGGTGGGAATGTAAATTGATACAGCCACTGTGGAGAACAGTATGGAGGTTCCTTAAAAAACTACAAATAGAACTACCATATGACCCAGCAATCACACTACTGGGCATATACCCTCAGAAAACCAAAATTCAAAAAGAGTCATGTACCAAAATGTTCATTGCAGCTCTATTTACAATAGCCCGGAGATGGAAACAACCTAAGTGCCCATCATCAGATGAATGGATAAAGAAGATGTGGCACATATATACAACAGAATATTACTCAGCCATAAAAAGAAACGAAATTGAGCTATTTGTAATGAGGTGGATAGACCTACAGTCTGTCATACAGAGTGAAGTAAGTCAGAAAGAGAGAGACAAATACCGTATGCTAACACATATATATGGAATTTAAGAAAAAAAAAATGTCATGAAAAACCTAGGGGTGAAACAGGAATAAAGACACAGACCTACTAGAGAATGGACTTGAGGCTATGGGGAGGGGGAAGGGTAAACGGTGACAAAGCGAGAGAGAGGCATGGACATATATACACTACCAGACGTAAGGTAGTTAGCTAGTGGGAAGCAGCCGCATAGGAGAGGGAGATCAGCTCAGTGCTTTGTGACCGCCTGGAGGGGTGGGATAGGGAGGGTGGGAGGGAGGGAGACGCAAGCGGGAAGACATATGGGAACATATGTATATATATAACTGATCCATTTTGTTGTGAAGCTGAAACTAACATACCATTGTAAAGCAATTATACTCCAGTAAAGATGTTAAAATGAAAAAAAGATAAAATAAAATAAATGCTTAGTACCTAAATATTTCACCATCACCACCTTTATTAACAGTAACCCCCAATAATAAGGATACGTAAGGAAAGTATAGTGTTGCAGTCAAATGAGAAGTGCCAGAGAATGTTTACCTTCCGATTCTGATCATAAGCAGAGTCAATCCCCAAAATGCTATTCACTTCCACATATGGATATTTCTTCTCCAGGACACTGACCACATGTTCAACTTTAACTTTTTCTCCAGTCCTTACTTTGTTATATATCTGAAGAAAGAAAAACCAGGTAACCAACTACACTTTCACATGTAAATTTTGGAGTATTTATTACAAAAGATTTCAGAATGAAGAGGAAAAATGAAAACAATAGCTAATTCTCTTAAAAAGAGCAAATGGGCCATATTAGCAATTCTCCCTTTTCCATATACTTCCTTATGCCTTCTTATGTTAGAAACTACATATTCTTAAAATGACTCAATCAGTTCATATTCACAGTAAGTCCCAAATGCAAAAATGTGTTAATTTTTTTAAAATCTGAATACTTATAAGTAATCCTTGAAATAAGAACTTATGTCCATGAAGTTTAAGGGGAAAAAATGTTTCAAAATACATATGGCATAGTCCTTGTTTTTAAAAGGCAGACATAAGACAATAACAAAACTGTGTCTGTACTGTTACAGTTAAGCATCTAGAAGGATGCAAGCTTTCAACAGTGGCTGCCTTTAAGGAGCAGGATTACGGGGGCAGAGACAGATTTTTTAATCAACACACTTTAATATTATTTTTTAAAAGTTTTAATAATGAACATAATTTTTTTTTACTTTTGCAACTGAAAATAAACAAAAAGAAATGAAAACTCTTTATCCTTTCCTTTATACACACAGCTCTGAGGGGAAAAACTTTAAAAAACAGACTTAAAAACCCTTATTATCCTCAGCAACTTCATTGGAACTTATTTCATTCTTCAGAGCCTACTGCTAACTAAGGTCCACCACCATTTCTCACAGAGATCACAGCAACAGCTCACCAACTAGTATCCCTGCCACTTTCTTTACCCTTCACCAGATCCATCTCCATACATGCATCAGAATGAGGTTTTAATTGGAGTTTAACTCTGTGATCTGGACACCTATTACCCAGCCTAATGGCCTCAATGACCAATGAGGTTCCCCTCTCCACTCTGCTCTCACAATATTCTGCTCAAGTCATACTAACAACCTGGAGTCACTACTTCTGATTTGCAGCCACTGTTCAACTGACTCCTGTTTTCCCTCCTACACTCAGCTGGGACAACTTCCCACTCCACAAAAATGTCCGTGGCCATCCCTAGTGGAGTGAGGTCCTAGTGCTGCTATAGCCAGCGGTGCTTCCCACACTGTACCAAATCATCTGTGTGGAGGCGTCCCCCACTAGATTGTAAGGTGTTTGAGGACGAGGGAAAATCTTACTCTTCTTTGTATCCCTAGCAGCTGGTACGGGCCTGGCAAAGGGTGCATCTTTAATAAAAGTTGGCCAAATAAATAAACATTTCAATTAATAAAAAATGCCCCGACTGAATCTCTAAACAGTAAACGTAACAAACATAATAAACAGCAGGCTGAAATCATGTTTATGGGTAAAATAAAAGTCATGAAAATAACTGCTTTAAAGATAAGTTTTTCAATAATTAACACTAATCTGTAAGCAAAAGAACTATTACTGGTCAACTTTTTATACTCAAAAATAGAAAAAAAAACAAGGAGAGTTCTCTGAACTTGAGCAAGTAACTTAAAATATATATATATAAAAATCAGGATATTTCACAGTTTCCAATTAAAATGGAGAAAACAATTAATAAGAATTTTATGACTTGAATATTAAACTGATTCTTAACGAAAATACCATGATTGTCTTAAAAGGGAAGAAAGCGAAGTTTTTTTTTTAAACAAGTAGAAAACATCACATTTACCAAAAGGCATTAATCAGTGATTTCAAATCGCCAAAAGGCAGAAAACTAAGATACATTAATGTATTAGTATCTAAGGAATCTTAGCTGAAATCACAACAATCTATTATTAACATTAGTATATCAATAAAGGCAACTCTGGAAATACAAAATACATGAAGTTTGTGTGAATAATTTACCTTTTTCTCTTTCCAGAAATACAGAATCTCCTTACCACATACTGTTTCTTAGAGTAAGTTAGATTTTTAAAAATTATTCACCATTTTGAACAAAAACATACGTGTGTCAGAGTTTGGAAGGCATGATAATCATCCACTTCTTGGGCAACATAATTATACGCTCTCAGAATAGCCACTCCAGCATCCTGCATCCCATCAACATCTTCAGAGTCATTAACCACAAAGATTAAACCAAGTCTGGGGGAGAAAGGGAAGGGCAAAAAGAAGAAAAAGAAACATCTCGAAGAATGCAACCAGTCAAATAAGGAAAGGCATCCTCTCTTGAAAAACACAGTTCACATCATACTCTAACATGGCTGGCAAAGGCGTTCATCACTTGCAGAATAAAAAAGCAGGTTCCCAAAGGTGGCTTAGACTTTTTAACTATTAAAGCAAGCTGTTTCAATATCATGAAATGAGGCCATTACTGACGTTGAAGGTATTGCCATAGTTTTAGATGGAGATTTTGTTCTGTTTTTAAATAAAAATTAGGGGAAGTGAAAATTCTCAGAATGTGAAAACATATAGAAGGCGGGGGGTGGATTTTGAGATTTCATACCAGCAATATGGGCATCATAGGTAAATGGAAAGCATAAAAATATTTACTACTGTCCTTAAGCAAAAAGCTACACCCATGCTGAATTGGGTGATCGGGACTGACATGTATACACTGATGTGTATAAAACTGATGACTAATAATAACCTGCAATATAAACAAACAAACAAAGCTACACCCAAAGTTAAAGTTTATTACATTTTAAAACTTAAAGGAATAAACCACAAAGAGCTACCATTACACATCTACAGACTGGCAAAAAAAACTTGCACTGGCCATTATAGAGGCCACTAGCCTCTATCTTAGAGCAAAAGCAATGAAAAAAAGGACAGTCTTTAATTCAAATGGATCACAGACACAAATGTAAAACACAAAATTGTAAAATTCCTAGAAAATAACACAGGATAAAATTAGGTGATCCTGGGTTTGGCAATAACTTCTTAGAACTAACACCAAAAGCACAAGCCACAACAAAAAGAACTGATAAGCTGGACTTCATTTAAATTAAGAACTTCTGTTCTGCAAAAGAAACTGTTAAGAGAAGGAAGACAAGCCAAGATGAGCAGAAAATCTGTGCAAAACACATATCTGATAAAGGACTGATATGCAAAATATGCTAAGAACTCTTAAAACTAACAATTAAAAAAAAAAACAGGGCTTCCCTGGTGGCGCAGTGGTTGAGAGTCCGCCTGCCGATGCAGGAGACGCGGGTTCGTGCCCCGGTCCGGGAAGATCCCACACGCCGCGGAGCGGCTGGGCCCGTGAGCCATGGCTGCTGAGCCTGCGCGTCCGGAGCCTGTGCTCCGCAACGGGAGAGGCCACAACAGTGAGAGGCCCGCGTACCACAAAAATAAATAAATAAACAGTTACAAATGGGCAAAAGATCTAAACAGGCACCTTACCGAACAAGGCATACAGCTGGCAAATAAGCACATTAAAAGATGCTCAAAATCATATGTCATTAGGGAACTTCAAATTAAAACCATAATGAGATACCACCATACACCTATGAGAATGGCTAAAATCCAAAAAGTACTGACATCAAACTCTGGAGAGGATGGGGAGCCATAGGCACCCTCATTCATTGCTGGTGAGAATGTAAAACAGTACAACCACTCGGAACACAGTGTGGCAGCTTCTCAAAAAACTAAACACACTTTTACCATAATATGAAGTAATCACACTTAGCAGTATTTACTCAAATGTGCTGAAAACTTATATCCATACAAAAACCTGCATACAAATGTTTGTAGCAGCTTTACTCATAACTGCCCTAATCTGGAAGCAACCAAGATGTTGTTAACAGGTGAATGAATTAAAAAACTATAGGACATCCATATAATGGAATATTATTCAGTGATAAAAAGAAATGAGGTATTAAGCCACAAAAAGACATGGACAAAGCTTAAAAGCATACTGTACTGCTAAGTGAAAGAAGCCAATCTGAAAACGTTACATACATCATGATTGCGGAAAAGACAAAAACTATGGAGACAGTAACAAGATCAGTTGTTGCCAGGAGCTGGGAGAGAGGGAGGGAGGAAGGGAGGGACAAACAGGTAGAGCACAGGGCATTTTTAGGGCAGTGAAACTAAGCTATATGATACTATAATGGTGGAAACATGTCATTATACATCTGTCAAAATCCACAAAATGTACAGCACAAACAATGAACCCTAATGTAAACTATGGACTTTAGTTAATAATAATGTAGCAATACCAGTTAATTAATCAACATTGCTCTAAAAAAATACAAAGTCTATTAATTTTTTTTTAAGTACAGCCTAAAAATATATGATAAACATATATCAAACATCATGCTCTCAGGAGGTATGTGTAGAATTTGTGTATGCATGGATGAGGTAGTTGCACGTATGAGGTAGTTGAGAGGGCTTGTTTTTAGATTATAAATTGTCTTTGTCTTTTTAAAACCCCTCTTATGACAGAAATCAAATGAGTAAGCGCCAGGCAAAAATGACCTAAATATTATTCTTATGAAAATAAAAATAAGGGCTAGAACCTAATTATCTCCTCACAAAGCACTTCCCTTTCCCAAGTGTTCAATTTTTAAAAAGGGCATCAGAGTTGTTCTATTAGCTAAGTCCCCAAATCCAGGCTACTGTCTCTCCCAGGACCAGTCCCTCATCAAGTACCAGTAGGGAGGCTCTCAGATTTGTCCCCTCCTCTCCTCGGTCCCTGCCAACAACTCCGTGTACCACAGCAACTCATACAACGGAAAACAACCGCTGGTCTGCCTTGGTCTTTCCACCAACTGTTCACAACATGCCTGTGAGTTAACTGCCTTCTTCTCACCTACCTTTGCAATCTGAAGAGCCCATGCCCTCTTCCTGGCCCTCAATGCCATTCAGTAAATCTTTAATTAATGCCCACTGTGTACCATAAGCCAACTTCTTTTGTGTTCTTACATTCCCTTTTCATCAAAACATAGCTCTGGCTGTAATCCTCCACCTAACCATGTGGTATTCAGGTTTACATTAAAAATTTCATTAAACTCAAAATCTCTGCTTTTCCATCAATGAAAACTCGCTATTTTCTTCAAAGTCTATCTTAAATCCAACTTTGCCATGAAACCTCTGTCCTTCCCAAATATCTGCCTATAATCTTTTTTTTCCCTGAAATTCTAAAGCACTTAGAACTAGCAAGGACATAACCTAGCACTTGATTGAATATCTTACTGGAAGTAGGCACAGTATTTTTTCCAAGAGGGTAGAAATGTGGCTTATGTTCCACTCGCAGCATTTAGCTCAGTGCTGAGTATGGAACACACAATAACGTTAATTAGCTAAAGAGCTCTTTTCTTCTTTATTTTCATGTTTTCTAAGAATTCAAATTTTATCAACATGTAAAATTACCACATTCTATTCAGAATGTGGGAATATCTTAATCCTTATATGTAAAACCTTCAAACATTGTTCTGAGAAGGTAGAGTGGAAACCCCAGCCATTTAAGTACCCCGTTGGCAGATTTAGTAACACAAGTGAAATAAATGTGTCTGTTTGCATCTATAAAAAGCGGTGTATACATTTAGTCCTTGACAGTCTGACAAAAGTTCTTGGCAAAGCTCCTTATCTCTGCTGAAGGTAGGCTTTGTGATGTGAACACTTACTTAGGAAAATTCCCTGAGCAAGCTGAGATCACATGCTATTTTTACACAGGCTATTTATTAATAACTCAATGACGGTAAGATTCTATTCATTGAGAATCAAATTCTCTCCCCCAAAAGATACCGGCTTCATACTGAGCAAAAGATAAAACTGCCCTTAACGACCCCCACGATTAATTATCCTACAATCCAGTAACACCAGACTTGTTAAGAATGACAAACAAAACCTCAGCTAAACGAGATATACCATCAAATCGATAACGGTGTTACCTTAGTGGTATATGATTACTGAGGAACATCTCAGCTGTGTTAATCAACTCTGCAGTGCTCTCATGAGCAGGATCAACTATGAAAACCTGTAGGGAAGGGAAAGGAAAACATGAAACGACATTTATTCAAATGTCGCTGGGCCAATAAAAATGCCTTAGTCTTTACACTTGAAGGCCACCTTTTTCCAGCTACTTTCGAACCACATAAAAAAGAAGTTATACAAAGAGCAGTTATCCTCCCTCTGTATTCAAAGAATGTGGTACTGAAAGGCTAAGTGATTTTCTCATGATCTTACGCTAACAACATGGGAATTGTATCCAGCTGGCTAATACATGTCCTTTACTACACCTAACAAAACCCAAATTTTATTAACTCTGCCACCTTAGAAAATGGAGATTAGCTTCCTGTGTATTCATTTCGAAGGATCTCTGAATTAAGAATTCATTTAGAACCCAATTTTTAGACAACAGTAGCTATCATGTATTAAGTTCTCATGATGTACTTTAAAAAATAGTAATTACCCCATTTAATCTCATTTGATTAAATAAAGTTCTCATTTAATAAAGTTTAATAAATTATCTCATCTGGTAAGAGTAAAAGAGATTGAAATTTTGACTGGGAAGGAAAAAAGTGGTTTCAAGAGTGAGGCGAGTATAGAGGATCGTTTCCCTTGAAACTTCTGAGGAAGCCAGCCTTGGCCATAACCTGCCCCGTCTCTTTAGGAACTACATGAGGTAAAAGAAAGACATGAGAGGGGAAAAGAACGTCAACTAAAACCCCTTTTCCTCTATCTCTCTAAAGCAGTGGAATAAGGATTAAAAAGCAGGCACTGACGAAGATTTATTTAAGGGAATAAACTGAACTATTAAATTTTAGGGATTAAGATATTCAAGAAAAACGGTAGTAATATATTCATCTTCTGAGTAAAAAAGAACAACTATCTTAAAACTTAACACAGTCTAAACCGTGAGATTAAGGATGAGGAGCGCTTCCTCATACACTGACACTGCACAGCCCTACAAACAATCAGTACACTTCCCAACCCTTCCACTTTGAATATGGAGCTAGAAAAAGAGCATATCTAGGGGTGGTGGTGGGGAGAAGCAGCTTGTAAAGGAGAGAAGTGAACGTTCCAGATATGACAGAAAGCAGGGGAGAAGGCAAGGAAGAAATAGAAATCACAGCCCAGCAATAAGGAGTTTTACTTACCATGTTGTGCAAGTTCTTCCTGATCTGTCGGATAACACCAGGAAAAGTGGGGCGAAGCAACTCCTGTAGACTAGAAGGCCATGAATTATATCTGCTATCAACCTCCAGGTTGTTGATCCACTACAAAAAAAAAAAAGAACACAACATTGTGCATACACTTTAGTCACCATTAGTGAAATTTGCAGAAATAACAATGACTTTAAATTATTTCAAGAAGAATCACATGGGAAAGACCATTTTTGAAAATATAAAGATCAAGTAGAAAAACAAATGACTAAAACACAAGCCACAGAATAGGAGAAGGTATTTGCGACCTACTAAATCAATGAAGGACTAGTGTCAAGAATGTCTATAGAAATCTAATATATCAATTAAAAAAAGGCAAGCAACGTGAGAAATGGAAATGAGTCAAGAATATAAATAAGAAATTTACAGAGGAAATTTAAATGGGCAATTAACACAAGGAAAAATGTACACCTTTACGAGCAATCCAAGAAATATAAACTAAAAGCACAATGGAATTTCACACTGATTAAACTGAAAAAAAAAATTTTAAGTTTGTCAATATCCATGAATAGGCAAAAATATAGAACAATGGGAATTCTCACCCAATTCTGGCATCTGGAAGTCACTTTAGAGAAGATGACCTAATAAAGTTGAAGCCTTTATTACTACCCTACCACTAAGTACTACAGCTCTACATGTCTACCCCAAATATATTCTCACATGTATGCACGAAGAGAGAGGTACAAAAAGAGCCGTTAACAGTACTGTTTATTAACAGCAAAACATTAGAAACAACTAAATATCCATAAAAAAGGAACGGATAAATAGTATACAATATTTGTACAAAAAGAGCAGGGTGGGGCTTCCCTGGTGGCGCAGTGGTTGAGAGTCCGCCTGCTGATGCAGGGGACACGGTTTCATGCCCCAGTCCGGGAAGATCCCACATGCTGCGGAGCAGCTGGGCCCGTGAGCCACAGCCACTGAGCCTGCGCGTCCGGAGCCTGCGCTCCGCAACAGGACAGGCCGCAACAGTGAGAGGCCCGCGTACCGCAAAAAAAAAAAGAAAAAAAAAAGAGCAGGGTGGGAAAGTATGTGTATATTACCTTTCTTATGTAAATAGAGTATTTCTGGAAGGATATACAACGAATTGACAATGCCTGTTGCTTCCAGGGAGAAAAACTGGACAGCTGGGTGAAGAGTTTTTTCAATACACACTCTTTTGTATGTCTTAAATTCTAAACTGTGAATTTATAAAAGATATTTTTAAAAATAAGTAAAATATAAAACATGATAAACTAGATCTATATGTATCAACCTACATAAGCCTTCAAAAAATTACTGAGTAATAAAAATTGTTGAAGGATACTGATATGGCATTTTTCAAAATTTTAAAACATACAATAGGGAAGAAAATGATCAAGTAAGGTACAGGAGGGATACACGCCCACTTCAGAAGAGGAATTACCTGCAAGGAGGAGAGGGGTGGAACTGGGTAGAGATATAAAGAGGGCTTTGACTGAAACATTTTTTTCTTCCAAGAAAACATGAAATGATTAAATGGTAGCATTTAGTAAGTATGGCGATGGGTCCTACAGTTGCTAATTATGTTAGTCTCTTTACTCTTCGTAATGAAAAAATTTTTAACAGGAAAAAAAAATGACATAACAGTATTCATCAAAATAACAGTTACACCACCAAGTGAGAAGTCAAGTAGTGAACATCTACATTCTATATTATTCCCCTTTCCAAACACTTTCCCTAAAATCAGTGCAGGACAGACACCAAGAAAAGGGGACTGGAGAGCTGAGGGTGCCAGGCATGTCTCCATCACCGACCTCACTTCCACCACGACTGCCCGAGACAGCTCTGCTCCCTCTGGTCTCTTTACAGACGAGGAGACAAAGGCCCAGAGACATCACAGAGCGATATTAATCTACATAAATCCTTCAATATAAAATATCAAAGGCCTGTTAAAGGAGATTGGTAGCTAAAAACTGGTATTTTTAAACAAAATCACACAAGACTTACGTGCACCTGAGAATATACAAACTAAACACTTTCCCAAGAGATGCTCAGCCAAATTCCTGAAGATACAAACGTGGAAAAGTCACGGTCTTAACCACAGGAAACCTGATAGCTCAACTTTCTGGAGCATTTAAGAGCCTACTTTACTGTATACACATAGCCGCATATATGCAGTCGTTGTAAAACTTTGATGCCGACAAAAGAGATAAGAGGAGTAACTTACCTCTCCTAAAAGACAAATGCGAAAACCATAATAAAATACTTGGCCAGACCACTCCCTGGACACGCTCACAGAATACCTACCGAAATAGCAGGGCTCCTGATGTCTACAGCATAGTCGGCCTCAGAGGGCTGGATGTTCAGTTTCAAAACATTATGCAGAGAAAGGCCTTCTATTCCCAATCTATGCAGACCCTCCATCACCCGAGCTTCATTCCTCAATATATCAAACAGACTGAAAAAAAAACAAATAGGTATTTAGGAGAAAGGGCTTTAAAAAAAAAATTCTCACCATGAGAAAAATATATCAGTTCAAACTCAATGCCCTATCAAACGAGTCGAGAAATCAAAAGAGGGAGCTCTTCCCTTGCTTCCTTTTGTCCAAATATGCAGAACCAAGTAGGCAGGAGTTGCTTCTTGGCTGATGTTTATTTATACTTATCTACGTATACACTGTGTATAGAAATTATCTCTAAGTATAAACACACAATTTGAGGATGAAATAATCCTAAATGTGGATTTTACATTGCATGTTTTTAAAAACACTGAAGTAATCTCCCTGTGATATTTCTTACAACTGCACATGAATCTAAAATTATCTGAAAAGCTTACTAAAAAAACACCAAAAAATATACTAAATAATATATGTTTAATATATGTTTCAATATAGCATCAATTCCCACAGGCACACACACAGATGATCACAGAAAATGGTCTGGAGGAATCCACACCCAACTTAAGAGGTTTGCTGGGTAAGGAAGAAGAAATAAGAAGACTGTTCCTTTATCTCTGCATTATTTAAAACTGTTTACAATAAGCAAGTACACAGTTTGCAATGCTCTGGAAAATTAAAGAGATTTTTTTAATAAAAAATAAAAACATGGGCAATCTTTTAATGTGTCCTTTACTAATTTTTTACTAGCTCTGAAAGCAGTATATGGACATAAAAGCTCAATTAACATAATGTGAAAAGTATCTTACTGTGGAAACTGCTTCTTTTAAAGCACTAACCAACCACAGCTTTTGTTTTCACTATTATGAAGCCGCAATATCAACTGCGTCAATTTTAATATCAATGATAAAATCAGAATTCTACCTGTCTTCTGCACCCAACCCCCAAAATTCATAAGGAAAATTTAGAGCAACTTAGTCCTAAACCACATTTTAGCAAAACAAAAAGGTATCAAATAATATATGTAAGACAGATCATCTTCTGAGACACCAAAGGCCGCATTTTGCATAAACCTACTTCATACTGTTCGCAGAAACAAAAGAAGCTGCTCTCTTCTGCTTCTGTGGTTAACAGGAAAACTAAGGCTCTGAAAGGGCACCCTCAAAAGACACCTGGGCCTTAAATGTCCAAGGCATCAGATGTACATTAGGATAAAAAATGGCCAAGTATCATCCTGCCCATCCCAGCCAGAACATGGGCCTACCTAAATGCACACACTGGGCCTGATAAGTCATCGGGCTTTGCAACCTGTCACATCAAGGAGGAACAACAGTCTGGACATGTCATAAGGAGCCACACGTTATAAAAACTTTTCAGGGTGAAAAATATTATCCATACCTGAATATATCCTGCGTCTCTAAATCAATATGAAGCCCATTGATGAACAGTGCTGAATCTCCAGGCTGTAACCCTAAAGTTCCCTTGAAGTACTGAAATATTAAAAACTTATTAAGGAGCAGGAAGAGAATACTTAACAAAACTTTCCATGTTTCTGGTTTTATTATACATACAAATGTTGACAATGATGAACACAACTGTCTCCTACAATACTGGGGACAGGGAGCGTGTTAAATACACCACGCACGGAGAGTTACTGTTTGGCTGCCCTTCCCCGTCTGTGATGCCAGCCCAGGTTGTGCTAGCAGTCACTGACAGCTGGGCCTCCTGGATGAAGGCCAGGGATCCGATCTAAAAGGGTTTCAAAACCCCACACCTCCTTTAAACTCTCAAACTAAGGCACACCAAGAAACTCTGAGTTGCTGAGCTAAGGACAGCACGTACATACACCCGAGCTCTCCAAGACCACCTCCACGGGGCCCTTCAACTGCTGCTCTCTGACGCGGTGGAATGCATGTGACCATGCAGCCCCTGCAGCCCTCAGACCCGCCTGACCCACTGGAAACAGTGCTTTGATGCCATATCATACACAGCTTCTGTTGGCTTATATCCTTTCCAATCAATTCCTCTTTCTCTGCAAGGAAACTGGAACGGTTGATCACATATTCAACACCACACAGTAGAGAAGGGAAGAAACGTATCAGATACTAGGGACAGAACATGGATCCCTTAGCTCTCCCAGGGCTGGGGGAGAGGGGCAGGGATCGCTGAGCTCCCTTCACTCCCCCTCACTCAGTGGACAGAGAGAAATGAACTCTAAGATCTAGGACTGCATGGGAAAAACACAAAACAATGCAGAAGCCACGGCTTTTGCTTCTCTGCCCTGCCAGGATAAAATGGCAAGGAGGATAAGGGGATAACAGAAATTTGCATCAACAAGAATCAGAATTTCTTACAAGGGAAAGAAAAACTCCACATCCACTCATTCCCAGGCTGTGAATACAGCACCCTGTGACTGTGGGAAAGACTGACTGGGAACTATGTGAAATGAAACACAACAGAGGATGGGGATCCCATTCTGAAAACAGGGGACTGCACGGAAGTTACCAAATGCTCTGCCCTACTGGGCTTCTACAACTCCAGCAGCCAGACCTCACCCTCCCGGCAGAAGATCAGAAGATCCTTTTCGGGAGACTAAACAGCTCAAGAGGAAAGGTTTAAAGATTCTGTCACTGGAGTTCCCTGAGAAACGACCATACCACCACAGCCTACAGTCACAAAGACGCATCCTTCAGGCTTTCAATCAGTTTTTTATTGCCTCACTGTCTAATATGAGCTGTTAGTGAGAGATCACCAGACATCTAAGGAAAGCCTCTAACATTAAAGACAAGAGAACAAGACAAAAAGAAAGGCAACTTAAGAGGGAACAGACCATGCAGAGAAAAGAAGACACTTACATGAACCATCGATATCTTCAGAAGGATAAGACAACACCATAAAAAGAAGAATTCAAAAATAACCCTTGTAAATTAAAAATTTGACAACTAAAGAAAGAAATCTCAACAAGTGGTCTGAAAATCCTTCCCAGAAAGTTTAAAAATAAACGACAAAAGAACTGGAAAACAGGAAATAAAAGATTTTTAATTAGGCCAAACTAGTCAGGGAGATATAACATCTTAAGAATAAATAGGAATTCTAGGAAAACAGAAAAGAGAAACCAAAAAGAAGAAATGCAAAGAAATAGGTCCAGAAAATTTCCCAATACTAAAGGAAAGGATTTTTCAGATTTAAAGGGCCCACCAACCACCCAAGAGTACAAAGACTTTTTAAAAAGGCATTATCACTATGGAATTTCAGATTACTAGGGTCAAAGAAAAGACCCTACATGATTCCAGAAAGAAAAGCCAGATCTCATACAAAGGCTTCAGACTTCTCAAAAGCCATAATGGAAACCAAAATTCCAAGGAGCAATAACTTCAAACTTCTAAATGACTTCCAACCTAGAATTCTATACCCAGCCAAGCTATCAATAAAAACAGAAATGGAAGGGACTTCCCTGGCAGTCCAGTGGTTAAGACTCCACGCTTCCATTGCAGGGGGCGTGGGTTCGATCCCCAGTTGGGGAATTAAGATCCTTCTTGCCGCTCAGCGCAGCCAAAAACAAACAAACAAACAAAAAAACAAAATGGAAAACTGATTTCTCAGAGTCTGAAATTTACCTCACATGCAACCTTTCCCATGAAGAATGATTTGCTGTACCAAAATAAGGGAGTAAACCAAAAACAAAGAAGACATGGAATCCAAGAAACAGGAGATCCAAAAAAAAGAGGTTAAAGGAAGGTCTCAGGATAACTGGTATGTACTAGACGTAAAGAAAAACCAGTCCATAGTGAAGCAGATCAAAAATTGATAAAACCATGACAAAAACACAGGGATGGTAGAAAGATGGGGAAAGTGCCAATATGGAGTACTGGTAGACAGTGGGAGAAGTGGGGAGAGCAGTGAAAGAAAGTCAGACCTCATCCTTGTAACAGAAGGCCAATACATAAGATTGGAAACTGAGAAAGTACCAATTTAAGTTTGCTGGAATCTGGAGATAAATATCCAAAGAATCAACTAGGAGTTGAAAGCAGATGCTTCTGGGAAGGGGGTCACACAGGGAGTGAGACATGTTGGCGGGGCTGCTTTTTTCTAAAGAAACAGGTAGCACCATTTGATGCTTTGAATTATATATTCATGTTCAACTTTGATTAACTACTGAAAGTATAAAAAAGATTACAGAAATGAATCAAAATACCATCGTCTTTAATAAAAGAAGAGTAAAACTATTAAATGTCACTGATTTAACTCACATTTCCGCATCTTTAAAGATATAATACAAAACAGAAAGGCCACTATTTTCCATTGGTTCATACCTTCTGATTCTCTTCCACTTCGGTTCTAAGTTCTGAACTCACAGCTGTTTTTGTTATTGCTCTAAGGAAATAAAAACATTATCAGTGCTTAGTTTAGTATTTGATATAAAAGACTTCAATTTCCCTATACGAAATAACACATTGCTCCATAAATTACAAAAAACTAAATGGAAAAAACCTTAAACCTTTACAATTGATGAATATATTCCTCCTCTCAGATGTGTGTATTTGTTTATTATGTATTTGTTTATTATCACAAGATATAAAACCAAGGAAAAGTAACAGTAATAACTGCACTTTGATGCGAGTGCAATTATTTCCAAGATCTTAGTTAAATATATGTAACTCTATTCCTGTATATGATCTCTACAGCTCACAGGCTAAGGATATTGTTCAATAAGTTAAGGCAGCAGACTGTTCAAGCTATTTAAGCACATGTATATCTTCAATAGCATGCTTGATTAAATGATAATGTACTATATGATTCTTAAGTCCTGTCTAAGAAGTATTTTCCCAAGACTAATGAAATAAACAAATTTACAAAACATCTCATATCAGAAGTCAAAACACCTCATTCAGTGACTCAAGAAAAGGACCGACAATTATTTAAGTTTCTGAAAATGTGGCTTTTAAAACAGGTTTGCCTTGTATTTATGAGATGTGGAGGACCATTATACAATTGAAAGCAATAGCAGAAAAGCTGCATTCAAAATCTTAATCTGTCACTATGAACAAGTCAGTCTCTATGATTCATTTCCTTCATCAAGAATGAGTAAGATGATTGCTTCCCTGGTGGCGCAGTGGTTAAGAGTCTGCCTGCCAATGCAGGGGACACGGGTTTGAGCCCTGGTCTGGGAAGATCCCACATGCCGCGGAGCAGCTGGGCCCGTGAGCCACAATTACTGAGCCTGCGTGTCTGGAGCCTGTGCTCCGCAACAAGAGAGGCCGCGATAGTGAGAAGCCCGCGCACCGCGATGAAGGGGGGCCCCCGCTTACCACAAGTAGAGAAAGCCCTGGCGCAGAAACGAAGACCCAACACAGCCATAAATAAATTAATTAATTGATTTAAAAAAAAAAAAAAAGAATGAGTAAGATGATATATAAGAAACTCTTCAGGAAGAAAAACACCAGAGTCCCTGGCAGACCCTAAGTTAGTTACATCTACATACATTAAATTTTGTTAATTCATCTAATCCTGAAAGGTAGGTGTTGTTATTTCTGTTTTACTGCTGAGGAATGTGATTATTTACAAAGTTCACACAACTAGCAAGAGGCAGTGCCAGGAACACAACCTAGACTGCTCTCTTCAACCACACAACACAGGGGCTTGTCGCCTTCTCGGGAAGATGGGCCATTAACAATATAGTGCTGGTAGTAAGACAACTTTAATTTCCTAAGCATTTTCATATTTTAATGGCTTCATTTTATGCATAAACATGAAGATAATTAGGCATATGTTAAAAAGAAGAATGTCTCAAAGCCTTATTACTCTATGTTACCTGGCTTTGGTAGGAAAATTTTGGCTAAGATCCTTCATAATCACCAGAGCTAACTCAATAGGAGCAGCCAAGATTCGGGCAGCAGTCTGAAAACTTAGATCTGCAACAACATCAAACGCAAGTTAAAGTGTATTCATCTACAGCAATGAGAAAGAAATAGGAAAAAAGCACATTTATTTCCCACTATTTTCTTGGTAATCAAGAATGCCCTAGAATGCCATTTCAAAGCATGCCCATGGTCGAACTGGAGGATTTACTCACTTCACAGGCCCCTAGAGTGTTTACTGTAGCCGTTCCTTGATCTGCCTGCATGAACACTAAGGCATATACCAACACATTTAGCACAGGATTAATCCACCCCAAACTCTTTTCCTTCTTCTGGATTTACAACATAACACAAAGTACAGCAAAAGACTTTAGTAAATTATGCTGGGAAAGAAAACCTTGATACATAGTTCTTTGGACCAGAAAAGCACACATACATCCTGCCATACTGACATGCCTTTAACATCCAACTGTGTAATAAATGTATACATATAGAAACACAAAGATTAAAACAAACTTGTTACAAGCTTATGCACCTGGTCACACAAAGAAAGATCTGGTAACTCATCTACAAATATATATTACTCTGCAGAGTGTAATTTGTCTACAAAAGGACTTTCTTCCTTTCTTTTCTAATAAATCACGATTAATCACATGATCCTTAAAATTTGTGAATAAATACAATTAAATTCAAATTCTATTTTTTTAAATACCATGAAATTTAGAATGATTCCTCTACGTTTTTATTACCTTGCAACTGCCAAACTTTTAAAGGTGCCATTTCATTGGTGCTCTCAACGAGATGCTTTCTGAGTTCTTTCAACTGTCCCTGCAGGTCAGGGTGCAGGTCTCTGAAAGAAACATAAAATCAATCCTTTTCAGGTGTCTTTTCTTTCCCAAAGCACATTTAGAAGTTGACCCCAAATTTATCTTCACAACCCTCCCCACTTAGTAACAGGAAAATTCCTACAATATAGGAAAAATATTAAATTATTCTTAAGAAACAAGTTAATATAGAAAAGTATGAGTTAATTTAAAAACCATAAAATTTACAGATTAAAAAATGAATCACTACAACAGTGACTCTCTGTGTTGGGGGAGGGAGAAGAGTGGGACTGAGAGTAGGGAACAGAGGGGACCTCAACTCTACCTGCTGTGTTTTACTCATCTTGGTTCTCTCTTTCTTCAAGTAAAAGAAGGTGTTATGTTGCAGGAAAAAAAAGCTTGATAAACAATTCTTTGGTACAGAAAAGCAAGTACAATAGAAACAGTCAATTCTGGGTGGTGAGTACAGGGGTATGTTATATTATTCTCCATCCTTTCCAGAACCTTTTTAGTTTCTCAAAATAAAATTGGAAATACCTTGCTTCCAATCCCAAAATGAGTTTCTTTCAGCTACATGCTCATAAATCCTTTAGTCACATGAATATAATTCAAGCTAACCAAGATTATTGCGTTTTGTTTAGTTTTATCTTGAAATACAGTGCATTCTATTTAAAGTTAGTAAAACAGAAGTTTTCAGAGGCAGAGATCGATCATTTGGATCAGACAAACAGACGGAACAGAGTAATCCTGTTTTTAAGACTAAAAACTCAAAATTTCTTAAATGCAACCTGCCGAAAGTAAAATATCTACTCAGATCCTTCACCATCCCAGCAATCCATTCCAGTTACTATACTTTTCTTCATGATAAAAATACCTTAAAATGGGTCACTTACTTTAGGTAGTTAAATAACTATTCTGAGTGTCCAAAAAGGAAATTGTCTTCAATATTCTACATACTACCTACCATACTACCATACTACCACATACTACCATAAAGCTATCTAAAAAACAAACATATAAAACATGAATAGGAAAAGGGATTCTGGAAACCTGGATGCAGTAAAAACGGAACCTGACTGCATATTAATAAGGCCATAACTGATGTTCAACACAAAGAAATGTGCATTTGCACAGGATGAACTCAACATTTGCACAGTCACTCAACATCAACAAAGTCATCTCTACTAAACTGTTAGTCTAGCTGTCATTTCACTGGGTCAAATGTTAAAGCTAAAATATATGAAACTGCACCTACACATACTATTTCTATTAAAAAAAAATAAAAAGCACACCACAGATGTCCTAATTAAGATTTCCAGATAAAGAAGAATTCAGGGCTCTGAACAATGATCAAATCATAACAGAAATAACTGCAGCATTTAAAATAACAGTTAAGAACATTTTTCAGCTATAAAATTCTATTATGCTTTCATAAAATAGTTATAGAATTTTCTTCAAAAAGCCATTTCCTATCCTCTTTCATATAAAGTGAATTGTAATAAAATGTATTTCAACTGAACATATATAAAATCTACCACACCTCCTACTACAACTCTTTTGCAATTTTTCAAACTATGTTTAGTATAAGTAAATAGCTATAAATATAACATTGTAAATCAACTATAATTCAATAAAATAAAATTTTTTTAAAAAGAGATAAGAAACAAACAAGCAAAAAAATAAATAAATAATAGCTATGACCTCTCTAACGTAAAATACATTTGATTTTCCTCAGGAAAAGAATGCATAAAACAATTAGATTTCTCCTATTATGTGAATCAAAAAATGGCATGTGACTTTAGGCTATCAACTGCAAGGTCCAGAAAATAAATCAATTTAAGCCATAAGCAGGCAGCCATAGTATCATGTAAGAATAATGTGCTTCAGAATTACCAGAAATCATAAACTGTACTACAAACTAACTGGCCATCTCCTCATATCAGATCACATACATAAAGTATTGTTGGGAGATCCGTAACTCAGGCAGTAAAGAGAAAGATGATGCTTGCAATGTGAAGAAGGCTGGAGGTTTAAAGAGAATAAGACCCTTTCCCAAAAGAATATACATACCTTAATCTTCCAAAGAGAAATCCTTGAACTTCATCAATAGGATCATTTTCACCAATCACTGTGGTGTTAACTTCAGTTCCTACAAAAGCACAGCAAATACATGTCTAATCACTCCGATTAGAAAGAAAAATATTAACTTCATAGAATTTGAAACACCTGAAACTATAATAGATTTAAAATGTTGAATACCTCAACTAACACAGTGGTTAACAAACACACAATAAATGAGTTTTTGATATATCCTGTGTTCCTGGATAAAGAAAGAATGTGTTTTTCCTTAAACTGTGGAAATTTTTACATGTTAAATATTTCAAAATTAATACCTTTAAAATTATGAATAACGGATTTTTCAATATCAAAATTCTGAGGAATTTGCAACTAGGCAACTTAATCCTAAATATAATTATTGAGGACAGGATAATGAAGTACTAGGCTATCTTCCATGTACCAAAACCAATCATTTTTACTTTTAAAACAAGCTCAAAGGACATAAAAAGATTACGCATAAAACTTGTTGAAATAATTCAAAACCCTAGAATATTACAACAGGAAGTATCCACAGTAAACTGTTCCAAGTGCAGAAAATAATATAAAAACATGAAACTGTTTGTTAATTATATGATAGCTTAAGATTTCACATTGGGTCACAAATTAATTACTATTTGTGAACTACCTATCATCAATAACAATAGCTACTACTTACTGAACTCTTTTGTGAAAAAAAGTCGTTAAATTCTTTACCTCTACATCTTATTTTCTCCTCAAAAATACTTCAAGAGGCATATATCATTATCTGAACTCTACAGAGGAAAAAATTAGGACCTAAAGAATTTGTCACCCAACTCAGATATAGCAGAACCAAGATTCAAACATAGGTTCATAATACTCCTAAATCTATTCTTTTTCATTAAAGAAACAAATTCCCCTTTAACTCATATTTAAAGAAACGAAAACACATTGGTCTTAATTTACAAATTCACCTTTCACCTGAGTATCATCCTTGGCCTTGTACTCAGTGCTCTTAATGGCCAACTCCACACCATAGCCAGAGAGGTAAACAGGCTCCTTCCTGGGATTCTGCAAGCAGAGCAAGTATTCCACCATCACCACTCAGCTCTCCACGCATTCCCTCCTAGCTCTTTATGCATCACAGCATACAGGGCCTGACCATGTTAATGTCACATAGCCATCACTTAGGATTACACACTCAAAACATGCTTGAACTTCCATGGGAATCCTTAGATTGTGGATCCTGCCACAAGTGTGAGAACGGGAATTCCAAGGTAGAAACAAAACCAGATGAAGGGGGCTTCCCTGGTGGCGCAGTGGTTAAGAATCCGCCTGCCAATGCAGGGGACACGGGTTCGATCCCTGGTCTGGGAAGATACCACATGCCGCACAGCAGCTAAGCCCGTGTGCCACAACTACTGAGCCTGTGCTCTAGAGCCTGCGAGCCACAACTACTGAAGTCCACGTGCTCTAGGGCCGGCGCTCCGCAACAAGACAAGCCAGCAAAATGAGAAGCCCGCGCACCGCAACAAAGAGCAGCCCCCACTCATCACAACTAGAGAAAGCCCGCCCGCAGCAACAAAGACCCAAGGCAGCCAAAAGTAAATTTAAAAAAAAATTTTTAAAAAAACAAAAAACAGATGATGGGATAGCGGAAAGGGCAAAGGTCACCAAACCATGTGAAGAAATGGAGAAAACAAAAAAGCATTTCCAGAACCTACGCAGGGTTGAAAACTGGTGAGGTTTCAAACCTAGAAGTGCTTTGTTGAGACCGTGTGTGTAAATGTGTGTGTGTGTGTGTACATTTTTTTACTGACTTTAAATGTCTTCAGGCAGGGTTTGGGCTGACCTAATGTCACAGGCTTACCATCATCCTGAATAAGGATGGCCCTTTAAATACCAGCAATAGGGACTTCCCTGGTGGTCCAGTGGTTAAGAATCCACCTTCCAATGCAGGGGACGCAGGTTTGATCCATGGTTGGGCAACTAAGATCCCATGTGCGGTGGGGCAACTAAGCCCGCGCACTCTAGAGCCCACACGCCACAACTAGAGAGAAGCCCACATGCCCCAACGAAGAGCCTGCGTGCTGCAACAAAAGATCCTGCGTGCTGCAACTAAGACCTGACACAGCCAAATAAACAAATAAATATTAAAAAAAAAAACAGCAATAGAGCAAGGTGGGGGTGGGGGGTGGGGGCGGGTGTCCAAAACTGGATATTGATAAATCTGTTTCTGCTCACATAAATTTTCATTTAAAATTTTTATTTTACTTTCCCATGGACTTAACATCCGATATTTACTGAGCTTAACATGACACAGAAACTTTAAAGGCCAACAATCTTTACATATAAATATTTTAAATGCTAAATGCCACACAAGGTTTCGAAAGTTTAATTTTAAATCAATTCTGCCTGAGTTTACCTCTTTAGAAATCCTTTTTCTATCAAATAAAAAGATGCCAAAAAGAAAAAAAAAGGGTTTGGAAAGGAAGTGAATTCAAGAATCAGTTCCATAGTATGATGACCATATTAAATCTGGACCAAATTAAGTATAATTTACATGGTTCATTTTGAAATAGAACGTAGGGAATTTCCTGGCGGTCCAGTAGTTAGGACTCTGTGCTTTCACTGCCCAGGGCCGCGGGTTCAATCCCTGGTCGGGGAACTAGGATCCCAGGAGCCGCATGGCATGGCCAGGGAAAAAAAAAAAAATCAAAGCTGAAATAGAATGTCAATTTTATACGGCCATTTTTTAGGCATATTGTTTTACATTTCTTCAGAAAGGCAAGCAAAGTACCTCCTATGTGCAAATAACAGATTTGATGAAAGTACTACACTTCCCAAAAAAGTAGTTCAAATCATTTTATAAAGGGGGAAATTATTAGCTGAAGTGCTAAGGTTGTTGTGGGCAAACTAATATTTAAAACAGTCATAAAATAAGTCAATACTTACAGATATATAATGTCTGAATACGTAATTGATTTTGCCTGCACTGCTTTTTGATACAAGTTGTCGGTGAAACTTATAAAACTCCTCAGAGCCAATCTCAGAGTAGAAAATAACCACTGAGCTTTCAGGATTAGATGAGGGATATCTGTGATCTCCTTTGAACAATAAAGGTTTTGGTCTGAAAATAAATATTAAAAGCTTAAAATTGTTAACTTAAAAAAGCTTTTAAACATTAAAAACAGTACAAAATGAAGCTACAGCAATGATAATTTAAGCAAACATTATAAGCATCTTAAATAGTTTTCAGTTAGTAAGAATACTGAAAACAAAACAGGTATGAGTCTTATTTGTTCATAATTAAAATTAACGAATGTACATTATATAAATACTAACCTTAAAATGTAGACTTTGAATAATAATTGTTACCAATTTCTAGAGCAGGGGGTAAAAAAGCCAGAAAAAGGATACACATCCAGCCCTCATAGTACTAAAACTTTAGTAAATTATTCTACCATATAAATAGAATGTAATTACCTTTTTATCTGAAGACCTAAGTGCAAATAATGCAAAAAAGCAGAGGATAAATCTAAGCGTGTAACTTCCCAATTACAGCATCTCCCTCCTCTATCATTTTTACTATTATGATCATCCTACTACTGCATCTAAAATTTAGGTTATCCTCATAAATTTTAAAACCCCCCCCTCAAGAAAACTTCTCTAAGGATGACATCAAGATATTAGCAGATCTTAATGCACAGACTTTATGACCTACCAATCCTTCTTAAGGAGGTATACCTACACGTACTAAGTGGAAAATGCCCCTTATAAAAATAAACCTACCTACCTGTATAAATTTATAACCACAGAAAAAAGTATAAAAGGATATATGCCAATCCATTAAAAATAATTACCACCTCTCAGAAGAGGAGACATTATCACTCTTTTCTTTATAAAGGTCTGCATTATTGTAACAAATTAAAGAAAGAATTTTTCAAGTCAGCCAATTTTGTTTTCCCCAAGGAAACAGCACTTTACTATGCAGCCAATTTTGAATGTCCATACCTCACCCCAGACAGCTGAATGCTCACTGAGTTTCTGGTTATCACCCTGAGGAAAAAGCACTCATACCATTTGGTGGGCAGAGGACAGGTGCTGAGCAGATAATCTCACTAAAGAAGAATTTCCCCACCTAAAACACCACCTGGCACTTCCGGTAGAGCAGGGCAGTATCAGAGAGAGAGATCGCTGTTATACAATTTCTAACAGCATTGGAGGATGTACAGAGGGGTTACTGCCCGAGGCAGACAGCAAGAGGTACCTATTGTTATTTGGCCACCACAGGAAACCTACATTTAAGCAAAAAAATCAGCCCACTGATTACCAATTTAATATTCAAATTAAGCTTGCAATTATCTTAAATAGTCTCCTTTGTCTGAAACTAATACTATCCTGAGAGATCATTATCATTAATATCATTACTCCAGGCACTGGCTTTAATACACAGAATATTCTTTACTAAGCTGATGACAAAGCCTAGGTAATCTCTCCGACACAGTCATTAGTTACTAAGTAACAATAACAGTAAGTACTCTTATTACCTCTATTTCGAAACAAGATGAGGAAAGAAAGGTTACGTAATTTGCCTAAATTCACAAAACTATTTTAAGTGATGGAGCTGGGATTTAAATCTACTTGGTTCTGGTTCCAGAATTCACATTCTAAACCACTACACCTACGGACTAAAAAACCCGTACGAAAAATCAGACGGCGGACCTGATATAGAAGAAAGCACAATGAATGCATGACGTTTAAATAAAGAAACACACAATCTACCTTTCAGAAGCTGTTAGTAGAAGAGTCTCAAGGGTATCAAAATCACAAGTCCTCTTTCCATGCACTGAAAAAAATGAACTACATCCTTCTGGTGGAGGTTCATCAGCTGCTATCTGTCATTTAAGACACAGACATTTTTAAAAATAATCTCTAACCAAAAACAAGACAAAAACATGAATATTCTAAATAGGTAATAAAATAATAATAAAACAACATCAGTAAAAGCAGAAATTAACATCTACCGAACACCCATTATGTGACAGAAAGAGCTTTACGTTTCACTGCTTTCTTTGTATTATTTCATCTAGTTCCTCCCAATATCATTCCATGAGGTAGGTGTTATTATTATCCCCAAAACAGAACTTTAAAATTCTATCTCAGAAGATATCAAAAGATATCCAGGGGGGGACTTCCCTGGTGGCGCAGTGGTTAAGCATCCTCTGCCAATGCGGGGGACACGGGTCTGAGCCCTGGTCCAGGAAGATCCCACATGCCGCAGAGCAACTAAGCCCCTGCGCCACAACTACTGAGCCCGTGCACCTAGAGCCCGTGCTCCGCCACAAGAGAAGCCACCGCGATGAGAAGCCCGTGCACCACAATGAAGGGTAGCCCCCGCTCGTTGCAACTAGAGAAAAGCCTGTGCGCACGCAGCAACGAAGACCCAATGCAGCCAAAAATAAATAATTATTTTTTAAATGTTAAAAAAAAAAAAGATATCCAGGGAACACAGTACCTTGTAGAAAACTAAGCTTACAAATGTCAATTGTAAGTGTCAAAGTATAACAATGCAGTCCTAATTAAGTATAATACGCAGATTAATGTGAAGCCCCTCCCTGAAACAGGAAGAATGACACTGAATCTAAAAAACCAACGGGGCCTAAAAAAAGAGTACAGATGGAAAGGTAAAATTATCCAAGGAGCACACTAAGATATTCAAAGGAAAGGCTGAATGAGATGTGGGGTATGTTTAGAGTGAAATGCACTAACGCCCAGGCACAATGAGATAAGTCCACCTGCAACTTAAACGGGAGGCACACTGAAAAGCATGAGTGTATAGAGATGGGGAAAGGAAAGGACACACTGACAAGGTCTGGGTACACACTGATGTCATTTATGTAACACATTCCTACTGAATGTCCTTTTCTACTGCTGGAATACAAATAATTAAGAACAGATGGGGAGAAATGGAAAGCTTGCTATGAAAAATTAATATTAAAACTTTCCATTACATTTTTCTTCTTTTTTGTAAATTATTACAAAACTTACAAACTTGTGTTTGTAAGAAGAAAGAACAGTACAATAAACCCCTATGTACCCATGACCCAGCTTCAGTAATTATCAATTCATGGCCAATCTCATTTCTTCCACCTTCCTACCACACTCCACTGGATCATTTGGACACAAGCTCCAAATAGCATTTCATTTATAATGTTTCACTATATCTCAATAAAACACAGAAGTGTTTTGTTGGTTTTTGTTTTTTTTTCTGGCCGGCCGCATGGCTTGCAGGATCTCAGTTCCCCAACCAGGGTTTGAATCCAGGCCATGGCAGTGAAAGCCCAGAATCCTAACCACTAGGCCACCTGGGAACTCCCAAAACACAGAGATTTTTTTTAAAAAACATACTACCATTATCACACTTTTAAAAAAAGTAATACAGGGCTTCCCTGGTGGTGCAATGGTTGAGAGTCCGCCTGCCAATGCAGGGGACACGGGTTCATGCCCCGGTCCAGGAAGATCCCACATGCCAAGGAGCGGCTGGGCCTGTGAGACATGGCCGCTGAGCCTGTGCTCCGCAACGGGAGAGGCCACAACAGTGAGAGGCCCACGTACCGCAAAAAAAAAAAAGTAATACAATTCTGTATTGATGGCCACCGGCAGCATAGTTTTTCAATCTTCCCAAGTTCTCCCATAAAAACAAAGCAAAAATGAAAACAAAAAGCAGTGGACCACATTTATGACAAAACTAGGTGGAAGGAAATCCCCATGATACAAAACACAAAAATGACCTGCGGTTATCAGAGGCCATAGAAGTAGAGGGAAACTGCAGAGATTCTGATGATCCTGAAAACAAGAAAACCCCAAAACAGCCAAAAGGTTTTCACTGGAAAGTATGGTGGGCCGACGGGTTTTGTTTCACCTAGTACAGGTAAGCACAAGGCAGTCTGACCACTGTGAACTCATAACTCACAGGCTAGGACTCCCTTCCAGGAAAGGGCCCCACCTCTAAGGACAAACTGCTGAGGGCAGAATAAAACTCAAGCAGGACAGAGATAAAAGCCAATAAAAGAAAAAGTCCAAATATAAAAGTGAAAGAGGGGAGCAGAGTCAGGAAATTTCAAAAAGCAAAAGCTACCTTTTTTTTAAAGCCACCCTATTTTAACACAACATAAAATCAACAGAATAGGGAACCATGCTGACCTCCAAAAGTTAAGGAAAACTAATTTCACATCAAATTGAGCAGAAAAAGTCTCAGTGTCAAATCCCATACAAAGCTATTGTAAGAAAAGGGGAGAGGGGAAAAACAGAGTAACACCCTTATTCTTATAGACGAGTGCTGTACAAGAGAAATTTCTGCAATGATAGCAATCTATTGGGAATTCCCTGGTGGTCCAGTGGTTAGGACTCAGCGCTTTCACTGCCGGGGCCCTGGGTTCAATCCCTGGTCGGGGAACTAAGATCCAGCAAGGGCCTTGCTGGGGCCAAAGAAAGAAAAAAAATTAATAGGGCAAACAGTATAAGTTATTCAACAGAAAAGAAAGGGATAGAGGGAGAACCTATAAATTAAGAGACCACTCACCCCCCAAAAAAATTAATAATTTTTTTAAAACTGGGCAAGATTAAACTCTATTGTTTGGTGATGAACTCTTGGGCAATGAAATGTTTTTTAAAAAAAAAAAAAAACAGCAAATGATTCCAACAGAAGAAAGTGATTCCTTTTGAAGGCCAAAAGTCAGCTGTGATGGGGACACAGCACATCAAGGGCTTCCATGGTGCCTGGCTAAATTCAGTTTCCTGACCGGGGTGAAAATTACAAGAGTGTTCACTTCATTATAATTCTTTATACTATATATTTCTTGTGAGTCATTTTCTATGCTGTTTTTATTTCAGAATTTAAAAAAAGGTTTTAAAATTAACAATTCTTTTATACCAAACATACAATCAGCATACACACCTTTGATTCTCTTGCTATTTTTTACGAGTTTGTTCAACTCAAAATCCAATAAGGGGCTTCCCTGGTGGCGCAGTGGTTTAGAATCCGCCTGCCAATGCAGGGGACACGGGTTCGAGCCCTGGTCCAGGAGGATCCCACATGCCGCGGAGCAACTGGGCCTGCACACCACAACTGCTGAGCCTATGCTCTAGAGCCTGCAAACCACAACTGCTGAGCCCAAGTGCCACAGCTGCTGAGGCCCACGCACCTAGAGCCCGTGCTCTGCAACAAGAGAAGCCACCCAACGAGAGGACCGCGCACCGCAACGAAGAGTAGCCCCTGCTCACCACAACTGGGGAAGGACCCGCGCGCAGCAACAAAGACCCAACACAGCCAAAAATAAAAATAAATAAATTTTTTTTAAAAATCCAACAAGATCCACACGTTGAATTAAGTTGACACCTTTTAAAATTTATTTATTTATTTATTTCTGGCTGTGTTGGGTCTTCGTTTCTGTGCGAGGGCTTTCTCTAGTTGCGGCAAGCGGGGGCCACTCTTCATTGTAGTGCGTGGGCCTCTCACTGTCGCGGCCTCTCTTGTTGCGGAGCACGGGCTCCAGACGCGCAGGCTCAGTAGTTGTGGCTCACGGGCCCAGTTGCTCCAGAGCATGTGGGATCTTCCCAGACCAGAGCTCGAGCCGTGTCCCCTGCATTGGCAGGCAGATTCTCAACCACTGGGCCACCAGGGAAGCCCCAGTTGACACCTTTTTAAAGTCTCTCTTGAAGCTCCTCCTTCCCTCTTTTCTTTTCCTTTTAACTTACTTGTTGACAAAATCAGATTATTTTACTAAAAAGCTTTCCTCATCCTAGCTTTTCCTGACTGTATTCCTGTGATATTGTTTCACATTTCCTATCTGCTGTATTTCCCGTGAACCGCTTTTAGATCTACAGGCTATGATCACACTCAGGGTTAACTGGTTTAGCAAAAACTGTATCGCCTCTCTCTTCACCTGTGCTGTATAAATAAAGTCTGGTAGGCAGTTTTTTGTGTAGATATTTTATTTTTCCTTAAATGAAAATAAGTGCAAATTATATTTTTTATAATATGTTATTTGAAGATTTAACATCATCAATTTTGCTTATTATTTATAAACAAATTGTAAATCCTAGACAATTTCAGGTAGAAAAGGTATAGTTCTGTAATACTATGCCAGGACAACTGCAATACAGCCGATCAAGATATGCAACCACTAAAGAATACTGTCACGTGTAAGCACTGAACTCACCTGCTGGAAGGCTTGAATTGTCGCTGAGTAGGAGTGAAGAGACAGACAAAATTTCAACAGATTCTGCTGTAGTCGTGACAGAAACTGAAATGCAACTTCCAATATTGCATGATAATAGGAATAATCAGTACCTGTCAGGAAGAACATTAACCAAAATAATTCTATATGACTAGAGGTATCCAAATAAGATAGTTCATAAAGTATAAAGCTATGCGTTACAAAAGCATACTGATTGCAAAATGTTACCATTATACTGTCCTGAACTGCTGTCAAATGCTTAGAATTCCTTGAAGTACACCATGCAATTGGACTTTTCTTCCCTTTGTTCAGACTATTCCCTCTCCCTAGACTGCAATTCTCCCACTTACCTGGATGACTAACTCCTACTTTCTTCCTCAGGAAGAATTCAGCTGTGAGAGCACCTATTCCAGGGAGGCACCGCCTATCCCTACCCCATGCCTCACTGGACCAAGTTCATCTCTTCTTTGCTCCCATAATATTTCTTCGCTTACCTCTTTCACTTAGCACATCATTTACTCATTTACCTACTTACTAACTGCCCCTCCCAAAGAGCCTTTGGGGCCCCAAAGCCCGAAACTATGTAACCACAGTGTCTGCATATGTTATCTATTCAAATAACCCAACAAGATGGAGCAGTGTGATGAGGAAGTACAAGATATTAAAGAATACTAATGAAACTGTAGTTTGGGGAGAAGCATTAAAACAATTGGAACACATTATCTGAGGGGAAAAAAAACGCATGTACCAGTATGAAAAAATCCCCAGGATATATTAAACGAAAAGCACAAGGTACAAAACAATGTATATAGTACGCAATTTTTTCTTACTCTTAGAAAGAATAAGAAATAGGAATACATACTTATGTATTTATTGTAAAAAATAAAAAAACACTGAAGACTAAACAAATTAATTTAAATGGCTATAAAAAGCCAAGAGAAACAGGAGGAATAAGATTTTTCTGTGTATAGCCTTTTGTATAGCTTTGACTTTTAAACCACTATTATCTATTCCAAAAAGAAATTTAAGAAAAATATTTCACATTTAAAAAAGCAAAATGGGGCTTCCCTGGTGGCGCAGTCGTTGGGAGTTCGCCTGCCGATGCCTGCAGGGGACATGGGTTCGTCCCCCGGTCCAGGAGGATCCCACATGCCGCGGAGCGGCTGGGCCCGTGAGCCATGGCCGCTGAGCCTGCGTGTCCGGAGCCTGTGCTCCACAACGGGAGAGGCCACAGCGGTGAGAGGCCCGTGTACAGCAAAAAAAGAAGCAAAATGTAAAAGGTTCTATATGGCATTAGCACCTTCTAAGTAGAAAAAGAGATCAGAAAGAAATATCTTAAAATGTTGCCAGAATGTTAACGGTGACTATCTTTGGGTGGCGGGACTATGACTAGTATTTCAAATAAAATGTTTAACGTACTTTTATGGTCACTTCCAAGAATTCATACTCCCCTAATTTTAACCAGGAACACATCAGCATTTATATTGAAGAAATTTCATTTTAAACGTCAGAATTCAAAATTCATTACAAAACTTACTTTGATAAATTTGTTTTATGAAGTCATAAACTAAAATGATTTTTTGATAACTCAAACAACTCTAGCTGACTCCAAATTATGTAAAGCTTGTAACTAAAGCTTACAAATTATGTAACTAAAGCTTACAAATTATGTAACCAAAGCTTGTTCAAAACTTTTATGCACTTAAATCATGAAAAAAGATTCAGACTTGACTTTTTAAATATGTATTAATTTTTAAATATCATAAAGTTAAAAATCAATTAGTCAAATATTAACAGCAGTCACATAATTTTTACACATTTTCTCTTCAACAAGGACTTACGCCTGTCAATGTAATACTCAAGGTTTTAACTACTCATGTATCAGCATCTTTGACTATTAATATTCATACTCTATGTAGCTTATATTGAATTGGAAAATGTTTGTGAAAGCTCATCAGAAACTGTAAACAAGTGATACAGTTTACCTTGTCATTAATTTGACACCTTGACACTCCAGTTGTGTGTGGCTGGCATGCATAATGGAAAACATTCTGGATGGCACTAACTTAATGATAACAAACTTAACAGATAATAGATCAGTTGTATAATTAGTTCATAACAAAAGAAAGTGAATCAAATCTGATGGTTATTAAGTAAATGCTAAATGATTTTAAAAGAATTTGACTCCCACAAAATATTCATGTAGCACTTTCAATAAAAGAACACAAAAGAACAAAAACAAGGGCAGAAACAAAAAAAACCAAAGGTAGCTCTTATCACCAAAGTTATAAACTTTTTCAAAAATAATTACTAGTTTGTGTTGACTCTGCTGGCTACCATCACAACTCTAGTCATTAAAGATAAAAATGTATTCCATTAACTGCCATGCCACACATACTCTGAAAGAGATCAATTTTTCTAATATATTCCCAGACACCGAAGTCAAAGAAGCATTTGCTTCAATTTTACCGTGATGATCTGATGATCCAATATTTTGACTGGCTTCTACAAAATTCCAAAATTTCTCTTGACTGTCTTCTGCTAAAAACTCACTGAGAGAAAAGGGGGAAATATCAGAAATAAAACAACTTAATGAAATCTTCTAATATAAGCTATATTACTAAGGAGAGTAAAAATAGATTTTTAAGTTACCAAATGTCCAAAGCTTGGCTTTTATTTGATAATATATATTATACACGAACATGTATAACATATATTTTCTAATGATAAGCAAGTCTTACTAGCTTATTAGCTATTAACAATTAGCTTAGTAGTTTATTCACTTAATAGCTTAATAGGTATCCCTAAAGAAACCTAAAATAATAGAAATGTTGTAACAACAGGGAAGTCCCAATATAAAGAAAGGTTATGAAATCTCATTTGTGAAAATGCTGTCAGTAGTAGAAGCAGAATTAGGAAATTGATAATTCTAGTACTAGTTCTGCTCACTCATTTTCTGAAATACCTTGCAAAGAACAAAAAAATATGTTTTCGCCTAAGTTTCTCCCAAGGAAAACATGAACCCTAGAAAAATTTCTAGGAGACTAAAGGCAGCATGTCGTAATCTTTTTACATCCACAAATCCAAATTTTCAAAATCACCAAATATTAGTTTAAAGTTAGCACTGATTTAATAAAATCAGGTCTTAGAACTTAATGCCATCTTAACTTTTTCCTTGACTTTACACTACTGTACTGACCTAAAATAAAATGGCTATTCTACATTTCCCTGCAGTCAAGAGCCTAAAATCCCTTAAAAGAAAATGCATGTACTAATTGAATGATTCATGTAAATCGGTAATCTTCTCCTCCAAGGCATACCAATGTAGTGGCGGTCTTTCCCTGTCTGAAAGCAAACTACAGATCTGGATATCAGCTTACCTAGCCAAAGGAAGACTTTCCCATTACTTGTCAACACTGGGCTGTACAACTCTCACTCTACTCCACAGCTAGACACAGAAATATGGCAACATAAGAAACATTTCCTGGTAATGCACAGCTTCTCTAAAAATAGGTTTCTGAAAATACCCATCATCATAATGTATTAAATTATTTAGTGCCCCCTTGAGTGTGGCATTTTCTAGGCTTTCAAGTAACTGACATAGACATCATACCAACCTTGTAACAGCTTATAGTCTAAGAAAACAGGTAGTAAAACAGATAGATTATGATATGCAAGTAAATGCTTTGTATTCTTTGTAAGAATACAAAGTGAATCTTAGCTTAGATTCCTACAGAGGCCATATGCACATAAATATATACTTTTCATATAATTACAGGAAAACTTCTTAAACGTACATTCTTTTTCACCCCACTGCATAAATAAGTCTTACAACGTCTAAGTGTCAAACAGCCTTAAGAAAATTAATTACCAGATCCACTGAAGTAATCCACGGAAGACAGGAACAATACAAGGTATTATTAAAAGGAACGCTGCCGTTTGTTTATAGTATGCTTAAGTTTGTTTGCTTTTTGTTTTAAATTGTTTTTTAGCTTCTGATACCTGAGTAAAATATCGATAAAACTTCCACTGAGTAAAATATTGATAGTTTTCCAGATGACATTATACGATGTCTGGGATTTGCTTTAAAATATTCTAGCGGGAGAAGGTAGGAGGGTGGTGGTGGTGACGGTTACTGGACTTGAGTTGACAATCACTAAAACCGGGTGACAGGTAGAGGGAGAGCACATTTTATATATATATATATAGCATTCTCTCCACTTATAAACTTGTTAACTTTCTTAAGGGCACAGAGTTAGTAAATCAAAAATCTGGAATTTACATTCCAATCTCAATCACTCAAATCTATCATGCTACATTCCCAGGCCATTATAATATCTCAATAAATAATTGTATAAGCACTCAATAAATGATTGTTTCAACTTTAATGATAAACTTTACTTACACAATATTTCTTTTAGTAACTACAGCTGCTCAAAACATACTCAGAGCTCTACTTCAATTAAATATATATCACTTCATGGACAACCAGAAAGCTACAAACCCTTCATTAGCATCAGGTCCAACTTAAAAATACACACAAGGGACTACCCTGGTGGCGCAGTGGTTAAGAATCTACCTGCCGATGCAGGGGACAAGGGTTCGATCCCTAGTCTGGGAAGATCCCACATGCCGCAGAGCAACTAAGCCCATGTGCCACAACTACTGAGCCTGTGCTCTACAGCCCACAAGCCACAACTACTGAGCCCGTGAGCCACAACTACTGAGCCCGCGAGCCACAACTACTGAAGCCCGTGCGCCTAGAGCCCGTGCTCCACAACGAGAAGCCACCACGATAAGAAGCCCACGCACCGCAATGAAGAGTAGCCCCCGCTCGCCACAACTAGAGAAAGCCCACGCGCAACAACAAAGACCCAACACAGCCAACAGTCAAATAAATAAATAAATTTATTAAAAATTTTAAAAATAAAAATACACACAAGAATAGTTTTAGTCCCTAAGGGCCAGAAGCAAAAAATACAAAATGTCTGTATTAGCTACATGCCTCGATGTGTGGAAAAAGATTCTGGCCCTTCACCCTCCCCCCAATGGACAGTGCTGTGACCCACCATCAATGTCTGCCATGGACCCAGGAGGGAAGGAGAGTGGCCTCAGCTAGCTCTGGAGGTGAATATAGAGTAGTTTCAAAAAAGCACAGTAGTGTTTTTGAGTTGCCTACACGTCCCATTTCCTTGGCAAACTGTTCGCAAATAGCCACAGAAGAGAAGTAAAAATAATGAACCAAAATGGCAAATGGCCAGGATATCATGAAAAGGCGCTATGTTTGTTATGGGTAAGTTGCAGCGAAGGAAACAGTTTACAGTACTCACTTCACAGAGATCAAAGAAACTGAAAAAAAACTGATCAACTAAGGCTGACAATTTTAGCATACTTTCTCAAAAGTCCATAAGTATATGCCATAAGACTCTTCTAAGACAATATACAAACACCAAGAAATCTGTTAGTCTAAGTGAGAGTAAAGGGATGTAATCCAGTGAAGAATGTTAAGCAGAATATCGTAAAACATCCGTTACGGTTAGTTGCACAAAATTATTTAGAAAGTGATAGTAAATCTCAATGACTTAGGTTGACACCAGATAAATCATCCAAAATAAGATTAGCAGAAAGGAAGAAAAAATGTTCAGCTACAAGAGTCCTGGCTCAGGCAGTCCAGGACCTCACATGACCTTCAGACACTTCACTGTTACAACCACCAAGATCTAACAAAGCGCGGACATTTGAGGGGCTCGACCTATTTATCAAATTAGTTATTGTGACATCACTATGAAATACATGCAGTGGAGTTTGGGGGTTTCTGGGGGTGAGACGGGGTTGTTGGAGTTTTGCAGGGGGAGGGGGTTTGCCATTTTATTGCTGAGGAAAGGGAGGCACAGACAAGTGATGGGAGAAAGTCTGTTCAGCAGAAAGTCGGGGAGGCTCCTCAGCAAGTCAAAACGGGCTCCTACGCGTCCCACGTTCCCACTGGCCTCTCCTCAATCCTGTACCAGAGGAGGCTTTGCCTTAGAAGGCACAACTATCCGTATACACTACCAACACAACAGACTCTTCATTCACATCTTCCTAGGGATCAAGGGGAAGATGTCAGAAGATAAAATTAGACCACAAAGGTAACTGATATAACACAACAGTTCAAATTTCCAGCTATATCAAATTCTGAAAGTTACCAAATGCTCATGGCTCACCTACCTAAATGTATGCTTTGGAAAGATTCTCTACAGGTCCTAGCTATATGTTATTTGAGATACAATAAAAATAAGTTTCCCTCTATAAACAAAAAACTGACTAAAAGAGAGGTATCTGGTTATATTTATATTACAAACACTAAATAAAACGTACACTTGGGTTAAAATCTCCCAAGAAATCATTGACTATATTGCATTTTATCAATTTTAAGACACTGTCAATTCTTTTTTCCAAGTTTGGGAGATCTTTTTTTTTTGGCCGCACTACATGGCATGCGGGATCTTAGTTCCCTGACTAGGGATCAAACCAGCACCCCCTGCATCGAAGGCACAGAGTCTTAACCACTGGATTGCCAGGGAAGTCCCTGGGAGATCTTCTTTATTGAGAAACTGAGATGTATGTTTTCTTTTTTTCCTAAAAACATGTGTGGTTTCTACGATCCACCTACTAACTCCTTCTTAGGGTTCACTTGAGCTGTTGTCAAGTTTCCTTCAACTTTTATTTTCTTCTGTACTCCCCAGACCAGGGAATCTCTTCTAGCTTGAGAGATAACAGTGGGAAGCCTGATGTGATTTACTGCATATTTGCTATGCTCTAAATCCCTTCAAGGCCTAGGCCTTTGAAACTCATTTTCTGCACCAAGACCCTAGGAACAAAGCGGGATAGAAATGGCTATGTAGGGGATCAGGCAGACAGGCACGAATCATCTTCTAGAGTTTCCTGTAGCCCCAGATGGTACAGTCCCAGCAGAGGAGCACTAAGGTAGAGATGGGGTAGGAGACTGGGGTCCAGTATGTTTCAGGAATAGCAGGACGAAATGCTGCCCAAAGACACTGTCAATTTTAAGACATATCATTGTTTTATGAAACACTGAGTGAAAGATGCCACCAATTTTAAGATAACATTGATTTGATTAAATGCATCCTGATTTTGGAGATGCTACAATCGGATAAAATGTGGCCACTTTCTTAGCTTCCCCCTGCACTCTCTTATGTTGGGGTCTCCTTCCAAGTTCTTGGGAGGGTCATGTCCTCTTCCCCCACCTTGCCAAGCTCTCTTCTCTTCCTTTTATTAAACACCTCTTAACACCTTCTTCAAATAAATAGAAAATTTCTTTTAAGTAGAACTCTCTCTTCCTTTAGTACCACATTTACACTTTTCCTGGACGATAACATAATAATTTAACCAATTCAATATATTTGTCTAAAGAAATCCCTAAAGATCTCTATCATCAATTCAGTCCTAGCCTGCTGACAGATAGAGTCTGTGTCCTAACAGCCTGTGAACAGCGCACAAGCACAGTGCACACTGAAAGAAGCTCTTACTAAATGCATGTGATGAGAATCTCACGCCCTAAAAAGCTCCTGAATATTCACTAGCAGAGCCTACATTTTCACTCAAACACGTGAAAGAAAAAAAATGTCTTCTTACCTGGTTTCTAACAACAACGGAGTGGAAAACCATTTTGTTGTAAGAGAGGTTGTAATGGCTTTTGAATCTGCCTTTGCTGAGGAAAACAGCCATAGTCCAGCGAGTACAGTCAGAAGGCCCATTTTACGGCAAACCCCTAAAAAGGGAAAAAAAAAAAAAAGTTTCGCTACAAGGCAATGTTTAAACCTGAATCTTAATAATTAGAGATAAAAAATAACATGACTATCACAGAAATAAAAATGCTTCCGAAATATAACAGCACCTACTATCTAGATAGTTCAGCAGACCTTTAGACACAACTAAAGGTGTGTCGTTCATTACACTCTCTCCTACAAAGGCTGCACTTCATCTCCTGGGTGCCTATACCATACAGAGATATAAAAGTCAGCTGGTGGCCCAGCAGGTTGCACACAATCATACTTTATGAAGCAGGAGAGTAAATAAAGCTTAGACAGGTGAAAACACAAATGAAAGGTGTTACAGGTTGAACTGTATTCCCCCAGAAAGACAGAGTGAAGTCCTACCCCACCCCAGTACCTCAGAATGTGAACTTGTTTGGAAATACGGTCTTTACAGAGGTAATCATGTTAAAATGAGGGCATCAGGGTAGGCCCTGGTCCAATGACTGGTGTTATTAAAAGAAAGGGGCGGGGCGGGGGGGGGGAATGTGGGCAGAGAGACAGGCATGCAGAGGGAAGACTACATGAAGAGACACAGGGAGAATGCCCAGTAAAAACGGGGGCAGACACTGGAATTACACTGCAAGCCACGAACACCCAGGGCTACCAGACGCTGGAAGAGGGAAAGAAAGATCCTCCTCTACAGATTTCAGAAGGAGCGTGGTCCCGTGACACCTTAATTTAGAACTTCTAGCCTCCCAAAATTCGTGAGACAATAAAGTGCTGCTCTAAGCCACCCAGTTTGTGGTACTTCGTTATGGCAGCCTTAGGAAGCTAACAGGGTGGGTCGCGAGTGTAACATCAAATACAGGTTCTGGAACGAGGAAATGTAAGAGCCCAATAGATCCCCATCTGTAAAATAAGAAAGTTGGGGTCACTGGTGAACCAGCAGGGCCTCCTAAATCCCCAGCAGCAGCCTCAGCAAGCATGCCGAGAGCCTTGGGGTCCACATCATTTCACAAAAGGTCTCCGGCTGCAGGCTTCTTTGATCTGTGTTTTCACCCCTGGAAGTCTGCCTAACACAACCTAATCAGACTTCCACTGTGATACAAACAGTCAGCCTCCAAGTCCCACCCATTTGAATGGGAACCCAAAGGGGACAAGAATGTGTGGGAAACACTAACCCAAACTTGCGCTTCTGAGCGTTAAGGTCTGGTAAAGCTCACCCCAATTCCTCGACGCCAGTTATAATACACACTGTTGGGGAGAGACAGCCCACATACTGGAGCAACCCGTCAGTATCTTCCTTTTACAAAAAGCTTTATCATTTGTGCCAACATCTTGCTTCATATGACACACAATATCTCTAAAGAACAATGGTCCGAAGAGAAATGAATTCTACCAAATAGAAAAGTTGCTTTTAAAAGAGTCTGAAGTTCAGGCACTGCCAGCTTCTTTGGAAACAAAAAAAAATTAATATGAACATCCTATTTATAAATAAACATTTTAAAAAAATCAACATCGATAAAGACTAGGACTAAGCAAACTAGACCTCTGACAATGAAACCTGCTGGCCCTGATTCCTGGCTTGGGGGCGGGGGAGGAGAAGTCCAAGTCGATGCAGGCCCCTCTCGGAATGTAGCAAAAGTTACTGACATTTCCCGCAGAGGAGAAAGCAAGGACCCAAACTTTTACATACAATTTCAGTTCACTCAACTCTCTCCGACACTCTAGCCTCAGAAACTTGCGCCTCATGATAGAACAAACACGGGTTAGCAAGACGAGAAAGCCTTTAGAGTCAGGCACCTGTGATCAATTCCTGAGTTTGCTACTCACTGGCAGTTTCACCACAGGCACCTTACCTGATAACTCCCTCGCCCTTAGTCTCCCACTCTCTCAAATAGGAATAACAGTACCTGCCGCAACATGCCCACGAGCGAATTGAGAAGGCAACGTGAAAGTCACTTTGTAAAGTGTCAAGTACTACACCAGAACTAACTGCTCCAGTTAAAATATGTAAGGAAGAGAAACTAGAAACTGTCTTCTAAATTACAGAATAATAACTCATCGTTATTACAAGGCCTCAAAAATATGCTTTGGAAATATATCCTCTGTGGCTAGGAAAAAAAAATCAACAAAATCCTCCGCCAAAGTCACTAAGTTTCTAAAGCGGAGACAGCGCATATGAGCTATGTTCAAGCAGTATTAATGCTACAGCTATGTTCACCATTTTTCCTGAAGGGACCTAGACGTGTAATCCCCCAACAGCGGTGATTCCAGATGAGAAATTAGATGCCTCTGCACAGTACTGCCAGGCCGAGGGCATGCACAGAGTGGGGAGGGGACAGGGAGGGACCGAAGGCCCCAGGAAACACCCGCACTTACAGAGCAATTACTCCAGGCAAATCACTCTGGACAGCGCCACTGCCAAGCACTCTGCAAACTCGTTACCCAGCCCTTTCACACAAGGCCCCAGGAGACTGCAGCTCCCGAGGGGGGCAGCCTCGTCCACTTTGTCCACCAGAGCCAACAGCGCAGGGCCTGGCAAACAGCAGGTAGTCCATAAATACGCTGCATGATGCGTGAAACACTATCATCCCTACTTGAAAAATAAGAAAATGGCAGCTCGGAGAGGCTAAGTAACTTGCCGGACTAATAAATCGCAATGTTTGGAACCCACATCTGCCTGTTTTCAAAAGTTCCACAATACCATGCTCTCTGCCCTGGTCCTCTGGCTTTAAGAAGGGGTAAGAATTCATATTGTGCAGACCCAGAATGAGCAAAGGACTTTATTACAAGACCCAAGGCAAGTCCAAAGATTTTCTAGGGGCAGAGTCCTTGGGACCCAGGTGGCTGAGAGAGGTACAGCTTCAACTTGAAACCAAGGGTGTGAGCCTGAAGTTGGGAGCAAACCAAACCAAGGCACCAGCCTGAACAGATCCATACTTGGGCTGGCTCTGGGGACTGAATGCGAGCTCCTCAAGCCCAGGGAGTTTTGTCCGTCAGTCACATGCCTAGCATAATGCCTGGAACACAGGAGGCACTCACAATAAAATAAACACAGACTTTGTTCATCAAAGGATGAATGAAAGCCACTGGAAGAAAGGGATGTGGCACCAGGAGTGAAGGCGCTACAAAAAGCCTAAGACTCAAGAAGGGTGAAAATGAAAACTCTACGCACCATGACTCACCCAGAGATCCCCCTGCCCTGCTTTAAGGAGACAGAGAGTTTCTGGGGCACAGTACAGCATCAGTAGACATGGGAAAAAGAGGAAAGCTACACACTAAAGAGCTTTCCCTTACCCCACATCCTTGATACCACAGGTAACACCAGAGGAAAAGGTTGTCCAGAGAAGTAGAAATAAGAACGTCACTGAGTGGCCTTTTGTTTGAAGATGGCTTCATTCTACGAGATCCCGTATCACTCTGACCCTCTGACCTTAAAAGCAACCCTTACAAGCTGTGAAATAACAGCTGTCAGAATCTGCAGCATGGCACTGCATGACTATAGGCATCACGCTTCCAGCATGATGGATAAATTAAAAACAGTCTTTAAAAGGTTCTACGCCCAAAAGATTCATCTAGTAAGATCTAGTGTGTGGCCCGGTTTCTTTAGTTTAAAGACACTATCTCTTGCTCATTTATCAAAAATATTAATCAAAATTATATTATGGCAAATGTTTTTCACTTTTGGAAAACAGAAGAGGCATAAAATTATAAATCATCATCAACTTTTTCTTTTTCCATTTTTAAACTGAAGAAAATAGCTTACAAACTCAAAAAAACCTTGCAGGGTGCAAGTTAATAAGTAGCCATCCGAGTTTCAACATATATGATAACAGCAAGGAAAAATACCAGGAAGTACTCTTCTTGAGAAATAAATTTACTTCTGAAAAATTTAAACTTAATATACACTTATACCTGTTAGCAAAACCCATTTGCTGTGAACCACATACATGCAATTTCAGGTTAAAATTAGATACTATACATGTAATATGAAAATGATCGCAAGTAACTGGAGAAAAAGTCTAATGGTATTTTCTCCATAGTTCAATTTATTCTCCTCAAGTTAAATATGCACTGTGAAGATGCCCTACTACTGTATAAAGCAACGTTTATTTCCTTCAATAAAAATGAGTTTCAGCTAAGTTTAACAAAAGGAAGTCAAATGGAAAGGCTACAATCAACCCAAACTTTGTGTTCTTGTCATATAGCTATTTAAAATGTCTTCAAACATCACACAGTAAAGTTGGCTGGCCAAGTACACGATGAATCAATGTTTCCAATACAGTGTAACACAGTAAGGCATAAGACCCCAGGACTTTGAATGAACAAAATATGCTAGTTCTCAAATCGGGCAAGAAATGCAAAACGATCTAGAGATTCTGGCCAAGGAACACGAAGAGCTCCCACCCATAACCGATTGGCGATGTACGCAGATCTTTCTCTTCTGGCAGGTCCCACACTAAAAGTGAAACCGGATCATCCAATTTTCAGCCACCAGATCCTCGTATTAAATGAAAACGGAACCAATATTCATCACCCGAATTCATTGTAGGGAAAAAAGAAATCTATAAAAAGATCCATTCGTTCTCCAACCGGAGTCCTGCAAACTGCTGGTTCTCAGCCTACTTGGGGTCAGGCTTGGACGAAATTCACGTTAGGGCACTTCCCCCACCTCCGTCTGCACTTGGGCACACGGGTCTCGAAGCTCTTCAATGAAGGTTCAAAACGGCTAAACAGAGCCCGCGACCACCCTCGCAGAGACGGTATGTGCCCAGAGGACACCGAGGGACAACTCGGGGGACTCGCAAAGAAGGGGAGGGCTGGGATACAGGAGGGGAAACTGAGTCAGGGAAGAAACGGAAGCTCAAGGTGACCGGGACACAAGGTGGCCTCGCTCCCCAGACCCTCTCTCCCCCCGCGAGAACTCCCCACGCCCCCCCCAGGGGTACCTGTCACCGGCCGCGCAGCGGCAGCACACGCGCCGCCCGCAGACCCTTTCCAGTCCATGCCGGGGCCGCGCTTCGTCCACGACTGCACCTGCGACAACGCCGGGGCGGGGCGGCGCAGCGGCGGGGCGGCGCAGCGGCGGGGCGGCAGCAGCTGCGCCAGTGAGCGGCCTACACGCGCCTTTCCCGTGGCTCCTCTCGCAAGCCGGCCCTGCAAAGATAGAGCTCTGCCGCCGACCGCCCTTTACTTCCGCTTCCTACTGGCTAGAGACGGAGGACTTCCGGCTACCGAGTGCAGCCGCAGCCGCCCAGAGCGTCTCTCGGCCGCCATCTTACATCCGATGAGGCCCCGCCTGCCTCCTTGCTCTTTGCAGTTCAGTGTGGTTAGGGAGGCGTCGGTCTTCGAGGTCGTGGGGACAGCTGAGACCCAGAAACTTCTTTACATAGAAAGTGTAAAATTTTAACTGACTTTTGATTATATGACACAAACAGTCCTTCGCTTGAGAATGGCAGAGCAAGGACTAAAAACACTTGCATTAATCTGATAGCTATTTGTCTCTACTGTGCTTAAGAACTTTTGTAGCTGACTACTGGGCTTTCTGTTCCTTGCTGGACTAAAAGGAGTTCAAATAATTTTAAGGAATGGAAATGACTTTTAAAATTTATTTCTTGAGGGAGATTTTGTGTTAGTAGATTTCTGTTGTGTGTTTTTAAAATCACTTCAGGTGATGCTTCCATAAAAAAGGAATTGTTTAATTCACTGAATTACAGGTAGTTTTTTGCTCTCTGTTTTAACTTGGTCTTCTACTATTGATGCATGAATAACACCAATATTTGCTTAGTTATAGCATACAATCAAGTGACAGCGCAGAACTTCTAGGAAAGTTGGGTTTCTCTTTTTCTAAAATTTTCTCAGAAAATTCAGGGCTATTTTGTTTGACTGAAACGCAGATTTTTTTTATTGTTTTAACTTTTTATTTTGAAATAATTACAGAATCACAGGAAGTTGCAAACATAGTACAGTGAGATCCCATGTACCTGGTTCTCCCAATAGTTACATCTCAAATAAGTATATTACAGTCTCAAAACCAGAAAATTGACATTGGTACAATATGTTTGTATAGTTTTGTCATTTTATCACTTGTGTAGTTTTGTGGAACCACCACCAAAATCAAGAACTATTCCAGCACCACAAATATTTCCAGTGGGTCAGGGGGAAGGAAGGACAAGTAGGTGGAGCACAGAGAATTTTTAGGGCTGTGAAACTATTCTTTATGATATTCTAGTAATGGATACATGTAGTTATACACTTGCCAAACCCACAGAATGTACACCAGGAACCCTAATGTAAACTATGGACTTTGAGTGGTAAGGACGTGCCAATGTAGGTTCATCAATTGTAGCAAATGTACCACTGTGGATGCTAATAGCAGAAGCGGCTGGGCATGTGTGGCGTTGGGGGTATATGAGAACTCTCTGCACTTTCTGCTCATTTTGCTATGGCTCTAAAACTGCTCCAAAGTCCAAACAATGAAGTCTTTTTAAAAGTGAAAATCATAAATGTTAAAGGTGGAAGGAATATAAGAAATAACCTAATCCTCTATTCTCATTGAAAAAATGAGTAAAAGTAAGACTCAAACTTTCAAAAATAATTGATAGACTTTATATTTTTAGTAGTTTTATATATATTTTTTAATTTTATAGGAGTATAGTTGATTTACAATGTGTTAGTTTCAGGTGTACAACACAGTGATTCAGTTATACATATACATATATTTATTCTTTTTTATATTCTTTTCTCATATAGGTTATCACAGAATATTGATCAGAGTTCCCTGTGTTATACAGTAGGTCCCTGTTGGTTATCTATCTTATATATAGTAGTGGGTGTATGTTCATCCCAAGCTCCTTTAGCACAGTTTTAATTTTACAGAATAATTGAGCAGATAGTACATACAGTTCCATATAACCATCCCACCCCAACACCTAACAAACACCCAATACCAGTTTCCCCTAATATTAACATCTTGCACTAGTGTGGTACATTAGGGTTACGTATATATAATGGAATATATGGAATAATTTTCAAATGGAATAATTTCCAAGCCACATATCTGAAAAAGGACTTGAATCTAAAATATATAGAGGACTCTCAAAACTCAATATTGTGGAAATAATACTGATACATTATTATTAACTAAGGTCTATAGTTTACATCACAGTTCACTCTTAGCATTGTACAGTTTTATGGGTTTTCACAAATGCATACATAATTATCATTACAGCTTCATGCAGGATAGTTTCACCCCTCTAATAATCCCCTGTGCTTCACCTATTCACCTCTCCCCTGAAATCCTGGCAACCACTGATCTTACCACCATCTGCTATAGACTGAATGTTTCTGTCACATCCCTAAATTCATATGTTGAATCCTCCAATGTGATAATATTTGGAGGTGGAGCCTTTGGAAGGTGCTAGATCATGATGGTGGAGCCCTCATGAATGGGGTTAGTGCCCTTATAGAAAACCCCAGAGAGCTCCCTTGCCTTTCTCCCATCTGAGGACGCAAAGGGAAGTTCTTGCCTGTGGTCCACTTTGTCCATTAAAGTCTTTAGCATATTACGCAAAGTTACATTAAAATTCTATTCTGATATTTCCAAAATCTCAGCCATATTTGAGTCTGATCTGATGCTTTATCTCTTCAGATTATATTTTTTTCTTGAATTTCAGGATGGCTCTAATTTTTGCTTGAAACCCAGACATAATGTACTGGGTAAAAGGAACTGAGGTAAATAGACCATAGTATGAAGTTTTATGTTTTTTTGGCTAGGAGTTAGGCTGTGTTTACAGTTTGCTGTAGCTGTATATGTCAGAGTCCTAAATTTCTTCCACTGTCCTTGTTTTTCTCTCCTCTTTTGTATTGGGTTTCCCTAGAAGCTGCTTCTTAAATAGAGTCTGCACATTGTAGTCCTTTCAGCTGTAATCCACCTTATTATACAGGAGCCCTGTTGATATGATGGTGAGGTTGATGAGAGGGAAAGCTCTGCAACCCTGTGATTAGCTCTCAGCTTTTAGGAGGCCTGTGCCCCTAGGCTGTGACCTTCATAAGTGCTATTCCCATTTGTATGAGATAGGGTAGCCAGAGGGGGCTGGAGTTGGGTAATTTCTTCCCCTCCAAGTCAGAAAAAGCTATGGTAATGGCTTTTTCCTTGCTGGGTAGGACGTTTTTCTGGAGAATTCTCTGGGCTCGTTTCAAAATGATTACTTTCCCCCTCCCCCAGGCCAAGCACGAAGGAATTTTTCTAGGGTACCCACTGTGAGAACCTGGTAAGTCTCCTGCGGCAAACCCCACAAAAGTGTGGGAGCCCTCTCAGCTTACTCTGGGTCCTCAGGAATATTTAACTCTCAAATTAGTCTAGACTCAGCCTCTAGAAATTCACCCAAATTGCCTGTTCAGTGTTCCTCCCAGTTACTAGTTGCAGCTGCTCCTACTGCAGGTAAGCTGCTCTGTATTCTCTGTGTTTGTCCATCTCTCCAGTTTTGGGGGTGGCAGTTTGTCCTCTGACTTAATTCTCTCTTGATTTTCTGCTCATTCCATTTTTTCTTGTTGGGAGGACAGGAAAGATGACTCCCAAACACTACTCATAGAGCAGAAACCAGAAGTCCCAGACAGACCGCTTGCAAGGAGTTGGTGACAGAACCCAGGTCTCTAGATCAGTGCTGTCTGATAGAAATAAACTGTGAACCACATATGTGGTTTAAAATTTTCTAGTAACCACATTAAAAAAGTACAAAGGGGCTTCCCTGGTGGCGCAGTGGTTGAGAGTCCGCCTGCCGATGCAGGGGACACGGGTTCGTGCCCCGGTCCGGGAAGATCCCACGTGCCGCGGAGCGGCTGGGCCCGTGAGCCAAGGCCGCTGAGTCTGCGCGTCCGGAGCCTGTGCTCCGCAACGGGAGAGGCCACAGCAGTGAGAGGCCCGCGTACCGCAAAAAACAAACAAACAAACAAAAAGTACAAAGACACAGGGAACTATATTCAACATCCTGTGATAAAGCATAATGGAAAAGAATATAATAAAGAATATCTATATGTATAATGAGTCACTTCACTGTACAGCAGAAACATTTACAACATTGTAAACCAGCTATACTTACATTTTAAAAATGTAAGTACAAAGTAATAGGTGAGATTAATTTTAATAACATATTTTATTTAACCCCATATATCTACTACATTATCATTTAGATGTGTAGTTATTTTAAGAGTTATTAAGATATTTTACTGTTTCTTGTACTGTGTTTGAAATCTAGCACGCATTTTGCATTTCCAGCATATCTCAATTCAGTCGTTTTTTTAAATATTTATTTAGTTATTTGGCTGCGCCGGGTCTTAGTGCGGCACATGAGATCTAGTTCCCTGACCAGGGACCGAGCCCGGGCCCCCTGCATGGGGAGCACAGAGTCTTAACCACTGGACCACCAGGGAGGTCCCTCAATCCAGTCATCTTAAGTGCTCAAGAGCCGCAGACTCTGCTACACAGCATCAGTCACCATAAAAAATCAATAGCAAGAGTAAACTGAGCACATCCTTACCGGGACTGTTCCTTGAACACAGGGCACACCGCTCTGCTTATCCCCCCTGCCTGGATTGCCTTCTTCCCTTTTCTCCACAAGGTTTGCTCATACTCTTCACTTAGGTCACTGTCAACATCACCTCTTCAGAGAGACTTTCCTGACTACCCCACCTAAAATCCATCCCCCAAACTGTTACCCTCTCTCTCCTTCACCTACTTTATTTTTTCCATTCTGTATTTGTTTATAGTCTGCTATCCCCTATTAGATGTCACCCCATGAGGAAAGGGACATTACTTAGTTCCATGCTATGTCCTCAGCCCCAGGACAGTGCTCATGCAACATCCAATGATGAGTTCCAGCCACATCACCCGCCTTGGTCCGTGAGGACATACTCAGTGGAGGAGATGTTCTGCCCTTGCTGTTATCCTCACCCAGTCAGCTTGTGGGCAAAGGACCTGCCTTGAGATCAGTGAGTCCCCTGGAGCTGCTTAAGAGACATAGCATAGAATCCTCCAGGTTTTAAGCTCTGTTTGTCATTCAGAAAACTAAATTGTACTGTTGGCTCTGTGTGCTTTTTCTCTTAACAGGGGGTTCAGGGGACCCAATGGGAGAGTTATGTCCTGCAGGGGTGCTGGCCCTATAGTCA